AAAGACAGTCATTTACAACTGTGTACTTGAAAAAAAGGTTTAGCTGAGTGCCAGTGACGCATGCCTGTAATCCCAGCACTCAAAGACGCTGAAGCAGGAGGATTTGAAACACATGAGACCATCCGATTCCCCGCCTTTTGGCTAAGGTGAGGTCAAGTGAAACACAGTGAGACCTTGTCTCAAAATTTTGAAAAAACAAAAATGGGGGAAAAAAATGGGTGGGTGGGGCTGGGTAGAGCATCCCTGGGCTGGATCCTCAGTATCCCCTCCCCATTTTCTTGAATATGAGAAAAACACTGCAGTGTTAAAAGTAAGACCTAAAAACAAAGGTGCAGGAAAGAAGAGTAACAATTTGTAACTGCTCTTGCCCGGTGAAATCTGTAATTAGAGGTTAGCTGCAACAGTAGCTAGTAGTCCAGCCAAACCTCAGCCTTGCTGGGGAGGAGCTGAGACTGCAAAGGCGCTTAAATTCCATTTTACAAGGCCAGCCCGCTGGAAGGGGACTGCAAACGCCCCTAGGGCTACAACTCTGCCATTCAGACCAGGTGGGATAACTCTCAGCACTGGAAAAGTGCTGAGCACCAGCAGTTTGGTGAATGACAGATTTCTCAAAAGCTGCGGTCTGGGAGGAGGAAGCCACCAACAAAATGCCTCCAGTACTTCTTTTGCTTCGACAGAGCAGACCCGGGGGCACTGGGCTCTAAGTCTTGGGCTCACTTTGATATCCACCATATGGCTGGCGATTCACACCAGGAAGGGGATGACGTCGACGTAAAAGGCAGGGAGCAGCGAGGACTTTGGATAGGAAAGAAGGTGCTTAAAGGATGGGGCTGCCAGGCTGTGCAATGGACTTATAGGGTGGGGATCAGGAAAGAGTTGGGGGGTAAGAGGCCTGGGGACCTCGTGGAGCTCTTGGAGCTGAAAAGGGCAGGTGTTCTATGGCGGAAGACCCAAGACGGCCACTCGCGGGGCGCCGGGGACTCGGAAGGACGCGGACCAGGCTGGAGCCAGGCCCGGCGCGCAGGGCCTCACCTCGCACGTCCCCGGCCAGCGCCCGCCACGTGGGCGCGTAGCCGATGCAGTGGCCGCACCACGAGGAGTAGAACTGCACCAGCCACGCGGCCGAGCTGTTGGCCGTGGCCCCGCGCACGCTGCCGCTGTCCAGCACCCACACGGCGTCCTCACCCGCGCGGTACAGCCGCGCCGCCCTGCCCGCGCCCGGGCCCGCCGCGGCCAGGAGCAGCAGCAGCCCCGGCAGCCGCACGGCCCGAGGCGGGGACTGGGGCGAGCGTGCCGCTCGGGCTCCCGGGCTGCGCACAGCCGCCCCGGCCGCCGCCATGTTGGGAGTGTCGCCGGCGCGCCGACCTTTCACCCTGGCAACCGCCGTCACGTGGCCGCGCGCGCCGGCCCCGCCCCCGAGTTCCCGGCCAGTCCGACTCCCGCCCTTGTGCGCCCCGCCCCTCACGCGCCCCTTCCCTGCTAGGCCCCGCCCCCGCCCCCGCCCCGCCCAGAACACGCGTGATCCTTCCAGGGCCCTGACCGCCAGGTTTAGCAAACGGAAAACGACACACTAGGTTAGATGTGAAGTCTGGACAAACAGCGAGCTGGTGGCACCTAAGTCTGAAATGTAAATTTAATGGGAGGTTCTTAGTCCACTTCTCAGTTTGCCTGAAATCCCTGTAACCAGCTGCAAGGTCCTTGTCTCCCACAGACCAGAGGCGCAGCCCTGTGGCTTGTGCTCTCGTGCGCAGGGTCCCTGGTGTTTTGATTGCTGGTCCTGATTTTACACACGTCAGGGTTCAACGCTGTGGCCAAAACAAGAAAGAAAGGACCCTCAGGTCAGGGCCCTTGGCCTCGCTGACGGGGCCTGTTGCTGAGGCCAGGGATGCCCTTCGTTCGCTGAGGGAAGCGCTCGCGTGAGGTGCTGGGGGAGGTGACCCACGGAGGAGCCCTGCGCTCTGTCCCTGCCCCTCCTGCGCTCACCGCTTTCCTGCCCTGTGCCGAGGCCTGGAAACAAGGCGAGGAGAAAGCAAGCCTGTCCCTCTGGGCCTACAACAAGGTGTGAAAGCCCGCAGTCCTGGAGAGAAGGGAGCAGAGGAAGAGGTGAGGGGCAGCCCAAGTGCAAGGCCCCGAGGTGGAGGCCAGGCAGGATGAGCTGGAAGCCCCCCCAGGCCACTGAGCAGAGGGTGGCGTCAAGCAGCAGGCAGAGGGCCGCTGTGGGACACCCTGTGCTTCCCCCCAGCCCAGCCTGCTGTGTTCTTGGACGTCGGGAGGGGCCTCGGCTTGGGGCAAAGGGAGACATGGGTCGGGGGACAAGTGCAGAGAAGCAGTTTGAGAGGCGTGGTTGCCATGGAGCGGGCAAAGGAAGGGCCTCGGAGACTGATGGGAACCTGGGTACGTTTCTTGGAGTCTCCGAAGCCACTGGAGGTGCTGGCGTGGGAAGGGCTGACTTCCTGAGCCCTTGGTTTGGGCAGGAAATCCCGGGCATAGGACCAGCTCCACCCGGAAGGGGCGTGAGCTCCGCCAGCTCCCTGCCCCGGCAACCAAACACCCAGGTGTGGGCGTGGGAGGTACGTTGGAGCCAGTGCCCCCGTGTTCCCCAGCAGCGCCCGGCTGTCACTTTCCATATGTGGCTATCGAGTGGCAGTCAGAGCTGTGCAGGGAACGGAATCCAAGGACGACTGGGGATGTAGCTCGCAAAGGCTGAGTGCAGGGTGGGTTTTTATGCAGGGGGTCCGAGATGAGCCGGGTGCAGAAAGACAGATCGCTGGGAAATTAAACGAGGGAGTTAGCGGAGAAATAACCGTTTTCTATGAAAGATAATGACTTCTCCTGAGACCAGTGTTGAGATTTATTGGGCCGAGTGGTTACTGCAGATCAGAGCCCATCTGCTCGAGACCTTGGAGGGAGGCCCCTTGCCGGAAGCCCTCACGGTCACCGGCTCTGCATGCCAGAGCCGGCTCCGTAGGGACATAAAATGTGTCGGCCACCTGATGGATATACTTTTCCTCCGCTCTCCACAGTCGTTTTATAGCACCGGCCCCTGGGGTGCTGTCACAGGAGGCGTGGCCTGGCTTCTCATTAGTTCCCAGGCACAGCCTCCCCTCAAGGGCACCGTGCCAGAGGCCGAAATGACTCTGGCAATGTGATGTACCCACTAGGCCCCCAGGCAAGATCCTTCTGGGGAGACCCCTCTTCTCCCACACGTGCACCCCTCCACTGTGCTGAGCCGTCAGCGACAACCCCAAGCAACGAGATTGGGAGTTGGTATTGGATTTGAGGAAAATCTGCAGGGTTTTGATGTAGGAGATTTATTGCCATGCCAAACACGTGTGTGTAAAATACATAATTTCTCTCACACAGCCTCATAAATCCAAAAGGGTCAGCAATAAATAGAAAAAAAAATTACAGACTAATTTGTTCAGAAAACTAGAAGAGAATCAATAAGACAGCTGTAGCTAAAAATGTGCAGTGAAGTCTCACACGGGACAACTTTCCCCAACTGGAACCAAAGCTCTCAGGACTGGGAAAGCCCGGGACAGAACCAGGTGACACCGTGGCTGGAGCCTCCCTGGACGAGACATGTCCTTGGGGACAGGTACCCAGGAAGACCTGGCAGGTTGTGGCGCCAGGAGGGGCTCTCTGGGAGGAGCTCCTGCCTGGTGGTGGGAACTCCAAGGGGTCCCAAGGGTCCATCACCAGAGCGACAGGGCAGAGGGCACCACAGCTCTGAGTCCTGGGGCCTGGCACCCAAAACCCTGCTCTGCCAGCTTCTCCCACTGAAAACACAGCACGCATCAATGCCGCATAAGGGATGGGCTCATTATGTACTGTAAACATGAGCGAATACAAATAAAAATAAAGCAGCATAGATGCATGAAAATCTGGGGCCCTGGGGCCCCCGAGTGCACTTAGATGAAGGGACCCTGTCTCTTAGCTGGGTGGGTCTGAGCCTGACGGGGGACAGAGCCCTGCACCCACTGGGGGGCTGTGCATGAATACATTAAGTATTCTAAGGGTGCTAAATTCTCCATGTGTACAGTGTAAACAGGCAAATTTTGTGGTACAGGAATTATGTTTTAATAAAAAGTGTTTAAAATGTATGCTGGGGATTTAGCTCAGTGGTTCCACCACCGGCTTTTTTTTTTTTTGGTACCAGGGATCAGACTCAGGACCTTGCTCTTGCAAGGCAGGCACTGGAACCACTGAGCTAAATCCCTGGCCCCCCCACCACCTGCTTTGCAAGCCCGAGGTCCCTAGTTTGATCCTTGATACCAAAGATAAAAACCAAACCAAAAATAAATAAAATAAAATAAAATGTAGCATAGCCATGGAAACTGGACACTACAGAAGTAGAAGAGGAGAAAAGAATAATTTCCTGAGAATAATCCTTTCCTGGTTTAGAATCCTTAATTCAAGTAGGTTTGTTTTTTTTTGGTACCGGGGATCGAACTCGGATCCTTGCACTTGTGAGGCAGGCGCTGGAACCACTGAGCTAAATCCCCGGCCCTCAAGTAGGTTTTTAAAAATTAATTTGAACTGACCCATAAAGACTCAGAAGTTGGACATATTACTGGGCCCATGTAGTGTTTTCGAGTGTCCTGGGGTCCACTTCCCAAAGCTGCTGTGTGTATAGCTCCTCTGTACCCTGCCCTTTCATGGCACATTGGCTGCTGCCAGGGCTACAAATTACTTATAAGCATATTTGAGGTTTTGGTTGTTTTTTTGTTTTGCTATTTTTTTTTTTTTTGGTACCGGGGATCGAACTTGGGTCTTTGTGCTTTCAAGGCAGGCGGAACCACTGAGCTAAATCCCTGGCCCCATTTTGTTATTTATTTTTTTTTCCCACTGTACAGTTCAAACTGGTCTTGAATTGACTATGTAGCCCAGGCCGGCCTTGAACTCGAGGTGATCCTCCTGCTTCAGCCTCCTGAGAGCTGGGATTATGGGCATGCACCACCACACCTGGCGTTTTGGTTGTTTTTGTTTTTGAAGTTCTAGGGATGGGACCCAGGGCCTCACACAAGCTAGGCAAGAAGCTCTGCCACTGAGCCACAGCCCCACCCCTTTTAGCATTTTTTTGAGATAAGGTCTTGCTAAATTCCCTAGGCTGGCCTTGAACTTGCAACCTTCCTGCCTCAGCCTCTGAAAGATCTGGATTATAGGCTTGTGCCCAGCTCCTGCATCACTTGTGATGATAAAGATAAGAAGTGAGTCGGTAAAGATGCATGGACAGACAACAGATAGCCAGACAGACCCACGGATGAATGATGGGTGGTGAGTGAGAAGGTTCAGAGAAGTGACAGACAATAGCAAGCACACACGCGCGTGTGCACACACTGCTTCAGGAACGGAAAGCAACCTCTGAGACTTCCTGTCACAGCTTCCAAATCCTCTCAGGAAATCCAGACCCCAAAGCTGCTTCCACTGTAAAAGCACTGGGCACTGGGCTCATGCAAAGCCACTGTCCTAAGGGCACGGGAGGTAGGGTTCAGCTCAAAAATAACACAGAGACGCCCCCCACACCCAGCCTGGTCAGGGGGACTTCCGTCCTCCACAGCACACCCTCAGACTGTCAGAAGGCGAGGCCTAAACTCTGCACCATCCATGCCCACCTGCCCTGTGCTCCCGGCCAAGACTCTTCCCTCTGTGCTGGCCACACAGCCTCTGCCAAGCTCGCCTCTGACTCGGGTCAGGGCCCTTGAGAAGCCGGAAGAATCGCAGCCAGTGGATGCCTGTCGAGTGACTTCCTGCACAGCCAGCAGCAGGGTGGCCACTCAGCATGACCATCTCGCCCACAAGGGAAGCTCCAGCTTCCGGAGGCGTGCGTGCACGCGCATGCACACACACACACACACACACACACACATATTTACAGTGTCATGGTTTATGTCTACATGTCCCCGGAGCCTCATGCGGTCACAGGGCTTGTTCAGAGGTGGCTGAATCTAGAGTGTGTGATGCTGTGATTAAGGGCGTGTGCTTGCTCAATCAGTCCACCGATTGGTTTGGTGTCACCCTAATCCGATAGTCCGGATAGGATAAGAGGGACAGAAAGAAGCTGTTAGGCTCCCTTGTTGCTTTTGCTACCATGTGGGTGCCGTGACTGTTTCTCCTCTGAGATGTCCCTCTGCCATGAGCCACCCTGTCTGTGAGCCAGCCGATGATGGACCGAAATCTCTACAAACTGTGAGCTAAATAAACCTTTCCTCCTCTAACTTTGGGTGTTGGGTATCCTGTTTCAGCAAGGAGAGAAAGGTGGCTGAGACACAGTGACTTCGCAGTGTCTAGAGGCTGCCCCCAGGAGCCAGCCCTGCCAGCACAGCCATGGAGTCACACAGGATCCTCTGGGTGAGCTGGGTGGACACCAGGGTCACCACCTCGTCCCTCTCTGTGCCCAGATCAGAGCAGGAGCCCGAGGCGGGGCTGGAGGCCACGTGTTCCCTTGGGAGCTCTCTGCCCAGTGAGTCTTCTGCCCAGCGCCTTGGGCCTTCTACACCCTCCTCACCAGGGCGCCCAGGGGACCCACAAGCCACCCAGGCCGCCACGTCTTGGGGAGCGGCTGAGAGGCTTTCTGAGCCTCCCTGGTGCCCTGCACTCTCAAAGCACTGCACCTCTTCCTGGGGCCCAAGGCGACTGCCCGAGGCCCCCTTGAGGGCCCAGGGCCCCACACCCAGCACATCTGGGTCACCAGCCACCAACAGCCCGGTCACATCCTGTGCTGCCACACAGGCTGCTCTGGACGGAGGCCGGGGCTGTGCTGATGCCCTGGGGAGCCCCCCACAGACACTGGCTGCACCCTCACCCAAGGGCGACTCTGGCCAGGTGACCTGTTCAGACCGCTGGCCACCCACAGCCCGCATCCCCACCGCAGACCCTGATCCACCCAGTTTACCCTCAGGGCCTCCCCATGGCCCAGGCAGCCCCAGGCAGAGCCCCGACTGCTGGGGACCCAGTGACAGAGCCTGCCTCGGGGCCTCCTCTGACAGGGACACGTCCTCAGTGGTGATGGAAGTGTCTTCCTCCAGCGGGCCCAGCGAGTCTTGGGGAACCATGGCCTCCTGGGGAGGGGAAGGGAAGTCTTCGGAGCAGGGCTGGGCCTCATCCCCATCACTGTCTGTGCGGGGAATGGGAGGCGGTGGAGGGAGGTGGGCGTCCCAGGAGGGGGCATGTGGGAGGTCCCCACTGCCATAAGACAGTTCCTCATCCACAGGGGACAGAATTTCAGTCAGGAAGCCAGCATTGGGCAGGGGCCCAGCTTGCTGTGGGACTCGGGGGTCTCCGTTCCCCGTAAGCCCAGCTGCCTGGCCCTCAGCTACAGGGGATGCCAGCCCACAGCGTACCTCAGGCCCTGAAGAGGCCTGTGGAGGGCTCCTTTCAGAGCACAGGCTTGGGCCAGCAGCCTGGGGCCGCTCCTGGCAGCCAGCCCCTTCAGAAGCAGAAGTCCCTGAAGGAAATGACAGTGACAGGTCCAGGTCGCTGGTAGAGGCCGCCTCAGGGGACGCCTGCTCTGTGCTCCCTGTGTCTGACCCACCGCTCAGGCTCCGGCTGGTTCCAGAAGGTTCCTGTCCCTGTCTGGGGCCCAAGGCAGGTACAGCCATGCTGTGTTCCAAGCTGGACAAGCCAGGAGGCGAGGAGCTGCCAGAGGTGGGCTCAGCCCCCGGGCCAGGTTCTGACAGGTTCTCTTCAATGTCCTCGTCCCAAATTTGGCTGGAGGCCTCTGACAGCTCTGACCCAGACCTTGGAGAACGAACATCTTGGGCAGGCAGTGGGCAGCTGGCCTGTGAGGAGCTCTGCTCTGGGACTAAGTCGTCTGCCACTGCTGCCTCCACTGGACAGCCAGGCAGGGCACCAGCCTGGCCACATTCTGGTCTCTGCCAGGTCACCGGCCCTGCACCCCCAGGAACAGCACCCGGCTGAGGGTCACCCTGGTGGAGCCCCCAAAACAAGGGTGGGGCAAAGTCCTCGTGAGCAGACAGCTCCTCGGACCAGCTGGGCTCTGTGGCCCGGCTGCCCTCGGCCTCGGGGCCAGACAGGGAGAGGGAGCCGTCAGAAAGCTGGACCAGGGTGGCTGTGGCTTTCTGAAACTCCTGGAGGGAGGAGCAGGACAAGTCACACGCAGAGCCTGCTGAGGACATGGGGGACGACGCTGGGGACCCTGCAGACCCCAAGGGGAGCCCAGCTGCAGGCCCGGAGCCCAGGTACACAAGCATTCTTGCCTCCTCCTCCAGGGCTGCAGGAGCTGCTGAGACAGGGTGAATTTGGGGACACCCAACAGCTGTCACACCCTGCATCTAGGAAGCGGCCCTGCCCCCAGGCTCCCACAGCCAGTGGCTCAAAACCAGGGCCCCAAACGAGGCAGGAAAGCAGGACGGTGCCAGCGTGTTCAACCCTTTCGACCACAGCCAGCTGCACATTGCCTCTGCCAACGGCTCCCAAACAGGTCCACGGCGTGGACGTTTGGAGTCTGAGGAGCCAGCTACGGCCACGACTGATGCCGTGTCTGCGTGGCTGCTCCTCTGTGACAGGGATGGGCCCAGCCTGGGTCGGGCTACAGCCCCAGGTGGGTGAGAGCAACAGGAGGGCAGAGCTGGGAGCTTCGGGGAGAAGCCCGGCTCAGATCTAGGACCTGGGCCTGGGGTGGTCCTTATGTGGGGGCTCCAGGGTCCCTGACCTGGCCTGGGGACCCTGGAGAGGGCAGGGGGTCACCTGGGGAGGCGGCCAGGGGGCTGCTGCTGTCCTCCTGCTGACAGGCCTCTGTCCTGTAAGCACACGGTGGGCAAGTCCTGGAGCACCCCAGGAGGGGACGCTGTTCTCCCAGCCGCCCCCCCCCCCCCGCTCACAGCCAGGGACACACAGCGTCAGTCAGCCGTGCCACTCTTAGAAACATCCCTGCCAGTCACCTCCCGCCATCCGCACTCCCCAGTGGGCCTCCGTCTTTGGGCACCATCTGGATCCGGTGGCAGATGGGCACCCCAGAGAACTCAGAACGCCCTTCCTGCACCCAAGGCTGGGGCTAACACTGGGCAACACCCCTCTCCACAGAAGGGCGGCAGACTGAGGAGGGAGGCCACACCCCCTGCCTGCACCCCGCACCTCTGCGCCCCAGGCGGCCCGCTCTCCACTTCCAGGGGTTCCTCTGTGGGGATCCCGCCACCATCTAGTCCAGCTTGGCATGTGCTTCCTTCAGCCACCTGCTGGGGCATGGAGAAGCGGTGTGTGGGGGTGGCCATGTCCCTGAGCTGGCACCGGGGCCCTGTCCTTCCAGGCTACCATGAGGAACGAACCCCACTGGAGAGGGCCTCAGAGACCCACTGGCCAGACGCCCCTGCCATGAAAAAGGCTCTCCTGCCTGCATGTGGAGTCCTGGGGGGTGGAGTGTTAGGGTGAGACCGGGAGAGTCTGCACATCTCAGGGAGCCTCCTGGAAGGCCTCACATGAGGGATGAGGCGCCCCAAGGCCATGCAGCAGGGCCCCCTAGGAGTGCAGGTGCAGGCCACACCCCAACTCACACGTGCTTCCCGGGCAACCGGAGGACCATCTGCTCCCGGGCGTCCAAGGCCTGGCCCCTGGGAGCCGCGAGCGCAGCCACCCATGCGAGTCGGGGGCCTCTTCCCGGGCCAGCAGGCTCTGGGCTGTGTCTGAGGGGCCCCTGCGGGCAAAGGCACAGCCAGCTTTTCGCACAGGCAGGGGCGGGGCAGGCTTGCCTGGAGTCCTGGAGCCCCATGAAAAGTTCTGAAAATTCATGGGGACGCAAGACTGCCTCGTGGGATTCGGTCTGTGTGAGGACACAGAAACATCCAGGATTGTCAGTGACAGGCAGTTCCGGAAAAAAAGCTCAGAGAAAATCGCTTTAAATTTAGAGATCTGGTTCCCCACTTGGGGGCGAATCTCGAGATGGAGGCTGGAAACCCTCACAAGCCTGTTCCTTTATCCCCTCTGCCTCCTCCGCAGAGGAGCAGCCAGGTCACCTCCCACAGGAAGTCTTCTAGCCCCGAAGGGGTCTGGGCCAGGGCCAGGGGCCACCAGTGCCCGCGCCTGCCCATCCTCTCTGCTGTCCTCAGGGGCCTCCTCGTCTGGGGTCGGCTCCACTGGGTGGGGAGGAGCACACAGGGCAGGCACACAGGCCACTGCCAGGGGTCTTACCTGGGGGTGGCTCCGGTGCCTCCTGTGGCCCAGGCTGAGCTTTGGGGGCGCCTCCCTCTGCCTCGAGGGCCTGCATGGACAAGGCAGGGGGGAAGATGCCCTGGGTTGCAGGAGCTGCAGTCAGGCAAGACTGCGACGACCAGGAGACGGGCAGCACCACAGAGGCAAGGACACATGGGTGCCCAGGTCCCGACCAGCACCCAGCCACGGCGGGCAGAATGGGGACCCCACCCAGGCCCGGGCCCTGGAAAGGGCTTCCTGTGGACTTGCATACAGGAGAGGCTGAGTCCAGCAGCTGTCCAGGGTCCAGCAAGCCTGAGTGCCGATGGTCCAGCCGGGGGATGAAAGACTCTGGAAGACGCGGTCCCAGCATCACAGCTGCTGGGATGGACTCAGCACCGTGGCCCACGGCGCCTCCCTCCCTGGGGCCCAAAGCTCAGTGCATCCCAGGCCCCCACTTCTGGGAACCCCACTGCCACTCCTAACACCACCCCTTCTGCGCCTTCCTCTCTTGTCAGGTGTGAGGCTGAGCTGCCCTGTGCCGCTTCAGACAAAGATGCCTGTGTCCCAGAGGGGCCACCCACCCCCATGCTCCTCAGACTGTGATGCTGTCCCGTGGGGAGCCCGGCGCCCTCTGCAGGTCACATTATCTGCCGCAGTCTCACTGCTGAGACCAGCACGGTCACTGGGGAAAGGTGAGAACCGGGAAAGCCAGGGCCAGGCAGGAGGGTGAAGGTGGGGTGCTCGGGGACAGGACGGACTTCTGGTCTCTGCGTGCAGGTGGCCGGGAGGAGGCGTCTCTGCTGTGAAAGCCGCCCGGCTTCTGGAGCTCTGTCCCCTCTGGAAATGACTCTACCTGGCCCCGTCCCTCCCTGTACAGAGGGGCTCACAGGCCAGAGAGGGGAGGGGAAGGAACATGCACGGGCAGGATGGGGCACAGGCTGGGGGCCGAGCTGCTGTGCTGGGGCCTGGGAGGCACTGGGGGCAGGTGCGACTTTTCCAGGATTCCTCCCGGCAGGAAGACAGCAAACGAGCTGACCCGTGGGAACAGGGAAGGGCCCGGCCATGGCAGAGGCCTGAGCTGGGGAGTCCTGGATCCAGGGCAGGGCACACCCAGGCCTAACTCCACCCTCCTGCCACCTTGGCAGGGCTGCACACGGCAGGTCTGGTGACACCCAGGCCTCCCCTTGGTGGCAGCGGGGGTGCCTCTGAGCCGAGCCACCTCCCGGGAACCTCTGTGAGCAGCAGGGCCCGTCCGTGTCCCCAAGTCCGGGGCCCAGCTCTGTGTAAAGCTGAGCATGCCCTGTGCCACACTCAGACACAGGCAGGGCGGCCCTGGCCATGCAGGTCCACACTGGCACGGTGGGCGGGAACACGGGTCTGTCTGACCTGGGCCTGCTGCCCTCCTCTTCCCCCGCCTGGCTACCTTGGGCTAAAGGACTGCCTCTGTCCTCGGGCGGGCTGCTGGCCTTGGCTGTGTCCTCTCCCCAGGCTAGCCTCGGAGGCTGCTGGTGGCCATCGGCATCTGAGGGCGTCTCAGGTGTCCCCTCCCAGTGCTCAGAGGCCAGGCTGCAAGATGGGCTGCAGGTCACGGCCCTCCCCACTGCCCCCCCACTGCCCCACGGGCATGCCCAGCCCTGCCACAACTCTGCAAGGCCCTGACCCGGAACAACCTCATGCCTGGTCCGACAGTGGCTGCAGCCAAGCAGAAGCCAGATTCCTGCCCCCCCCCGCCCCCACCGACAGCTCTCCGGGCAGATGGGGCTGTCTCATGGGGGGCGCACGTGGGGGGAGGTGGCTGCCTCCAGGCAGCGAGGCCCCGGAGGTTTCTGGTGGAGACTGACTGCTCTTCCTGGGAGGGCTGGGGGAATAGGGCACCCCAAGCTGCTGCCAGGTCCTGGGTATCCCGTCCTGCCTACCTGGGCCACACTGCCAGGGCAGCAAAACTGCCTGTCACCCCCTCCAGGTAGCAGGCAAGGAGGGCAGGTGCTGGCCCTCCTGAGCCCTTCTGGTTAGGGTCAGTGCCGGGCAGGCCCGCCTGGAGCAGCTGCTTTCTCACCTGTACCCCAGAACGCAGACAGCCTGCTGCCCCCACCCCTGGGCGGGCCTGATGGTCTCCCCCAGATCCACACTTGGGCAGGGAGCAGGCAGGAGGAGGGGGCTGGAAGGAGGGCAGTCCCCTGTGTCCTTGGTGCAGGAGCCAGCAGCCCTGCAACCGCCCACCGGGCCCCCAGGCCCTTTCAGAGGTCTCTCCTCCCGAGCCCTCCCTGGCACCCCAGGTCTCAGACCAGGGCCCGCACCACTGGTGTCCTTGTCCTCGCCGATTGCTGGCTCCCTGGGGTGCAGGGGGCACAGAGGCTTATTCACTGATGGACCCCATTCCCGGCACACTCCAAACACAGGAGAAAGCAGCCAAGCTTGGTGCTTTTCCCCAGGCCCTGACCCCAGCACAAAATCAAGCCACTGCTCAGGGTGGGCCTGCAGGGGACCCAGTCTCTCCTGCCTCCACCTGCCTTTCTCTACCTGCTCACTTTTGACTAGGCTTTGCCAGTGTAACAAGAATAGCTTCAGAGCTCAGGCCTGATACCGCTCGGGGACCAGCCCACCCTGTCCAGCCCCAAGGACAAACTCTGGGATTCTGGGGCTGGCAGTCAGCCTAGGAGCCTTTTCAGAGCCCATGACTTACAGCTGACTTCGAGGAATGCTGCCCAGGAGGAAGCCCAGGAGCTGATGGCCTGGGGGAGGCTCCCTGGGTGGCAAAGAGCTGCTGGGTGGTGACAACCTCCCCAAGGCAGGCAGGGGGACCCAGTGAAGGCCTCAGGCCAGGGGCGGCTTCCAGCTCTGCTCAGCCCCACAGGGTGCTCTGCCTTTACCGCCACCAAGGGAACCTCCCTGACTCAGCCTAGCAAGGGGCCCTCATCTCTTTGTGTTGCAAACTAAGGCCCTGACCAGGCCTCAGAGAGGGCCCAGGCACCACCAGCCACAGACAGCCCCACACCAGCTCCGGGAGGGCCACACCCAGGCCACCTGCTGCCCTGAGCCAGGCTGGACACCTGCTGTCCCTCCGCACCCCTCGGCAGGCTTGGGAGATTCCCCATGGCCACGCCCAGCAGCCACAGAGCCGGAAACACAGCTGCTGCCTGCTCCTTCTCGGTCCCTGCAGCTCTGGGCTAGCTCTCCGCAGGCTCCCCCAGTGCCCTCAGGGTCCCCCTCCCCAGGAAGGCGCAGGCTGAGGGGTGCTGAGCAAGGGCCAGGGCCACCTGAGGACTCACCATATGACCTCCGCATTCTCAGGGCCTCTCTGGGCTCGTGGGCTGGCAGGGCTGCCAGGCCTGCGTGGTGTTGGGGCTCCCTCCAGTGGGCCTGTCTCAGAGGGGGCTTCCCAGGCCGCCTTGACTCTAGGGCTGGGACTCTAGGAGAGACAGCAGAGGCAGCGGGCGTGGCCTCGTCCTCGGAGAAGCAGGCAGGCGTGTGTGGCAGCCCTTGGTATCACGGCCCAGGTGTCCCCATGAGTGACACCAGCCGAAACTGCATAGACTGCCTTGGCAGGGCCTGCACCCTGCTGAAAAGTACTCAGAGCCCGTGTTCCACCCAAGGCTGGCAGAGGCCCTCCTAGCAAGCTCTGGGGCAGTAAAGGGTCCCTGTCCTACAGTCCCCCTTGGGGCAGGTGCTTCAGAAAGCCCTGTTCACTCCCCCTGAAGGGAAGACCTCAGCCCCACAACTTAGAGGCACATCCCCCCATCCACACAGCTTTCACGCTGGCTGCTGGTTCCAGGGACCGCCGTCAGGGAGGAGCCCCAGGCGCAGGCCAGAGGTCCCCACTCTGTCCTTCCTCCACCACTGCCTGTGCTGAGTTGAGCGCTGGCCCCTCCAGCTCCTTCCTGCTAGGTTGCCCACCTCCACCAGGGCTTTCTCCACGTCCTCGCCACCCATGGCCACTGAAGGTCTGTCTGCTCCTGCAGGACCCTCCAGTCACCTCAGCCCACAGCTGCACAGCCCCAGCGGAGCACCTGCCTGTGGTGGGGCTGGGCCCTCTGTACTGTGAGAAAGGCCTTCGGGTGCTGCACCAACCCATGCAGGTCCCACAGGCCCTGGACTCCCCTCCGCACCTGCCAAGGACCCCAGGAGCCCGGCCGGGGAAGAAGAGGGCTGATGAACAGCCAGGGGCGGCAGGCAGCCTGGCCTCTCCCTGCCACTCCCTGGACGCCGGCTCCCCCAGGGATTGGCAGGACGACGCTGGAGTGCTCTTCCCCAGTGTCCCCGCCACAGGGCTGGCACACCCTCCCTCTCTCCACGTCTCCTTGATTAAACCCTTCCAAGACCCAGGGCATGGACACTACCGCTCAGATGCCAAACTGAGGCCAGTAAGAAGCTGCACCTGCCCTGCAGCCAGTGCCACCCTCCACCCAGTCCCCAGGCACACAGGGTCGCAGGCGGCCATGGAGGGTGCCAGGGACTCAGGGACTCACCGGCGGAGGTGTGTCAAGGGCAGCAGGCCTCCGTGCTCCCCACCCCAGCCATGCCGTACCTGCCGCCCCTTCTCCAGCCTGCTGAGGGCCTGCCTTGTCCTCTCCCACACGGCAGCCCCTGTGGCTCGGTGGCCCGGGCTCCCCAGACACCTGGGGGAGCGGCAGGTCAAGGTCAGCTCCACAGGCCTGCAGGTGGCCGTGGGAAGCCACAGAGAGGCACCCGTGCTGGGCAGGCTCCACAGCCACCCACCCATGACTGACCACCTGACAGACACCAGCTCCACCGGCTCTGGGAGCCAGGCCAGAGGGGCTCAGGTGGGGCTCCCCACAGCCTAGGCCCGTGCACTGTCAGGAGTCTTGGCCTGGGCTCTCACCGCGGGGGACCCCACTTCTGAGTTCCCCCTAAGGAAAGCTCCGCAAGAGTGCTTGCCAGCTCGGCTCCGGGAAGCGTGGAGAGCCTCCTGGCATTTTAGTCTAGGGGCACAGAGACAAGTACCCTGCAAACCTGTGCACAGACCTGTGGAGGGCCGTGGGTGGTGTCCACTGTTTGTTTTGGGGACACTTTAAAGCCTTATCTCCTTTTCTGCAAACACCTATTCATTACTACAATCAACAGTTATTCACGGAGGACTGGACGGGGCCGCCCGGCCATGGGGGGCGTGGTCAAATGCGTGGGCGGGCCTTCTTGGATAGGTGGAGCCAGTGCGGCGAATGGGCGTGGCTATTGGATGAGGCGAGTTCTACCAGGCGGGGCCCGTGGGCGGGTGGACCCGGCTGCGAGCCACTCACCCTCGCAGATGCTCGAGCCAGGCCAGCTCGGCGCGTGCCATCTCCTCCAGCGCCATCCGGCGCAGGCGCAGTAGCGCGGCCCGGTGCTGCGCGCGCAGCTCCTCCTCCCGCAGGCTCTGCTTCGGCGCCGCTACGGAGCCCGCTCCTGGCTTGGTGCTCCGGGTGCTCCCCGCGCTGCCCTGGGGGAGGCACACGGAGGACGCGTCATCGCTGACCACCCAGGTGGCTCCTGGCGCTCTCCCTGACTGCCCGCCCGCGGCACTGCCCCTTCTCTGGCCGGCTGTGAGCTCCCGAGGGCGGCGGGACCTCAGCACCTCCGTCCACGCCGTGCACTTGTTAGTGCTCTAGAGGGTGCCGGGAAGTCCGTGCCTCTCCAGCTGGCCGGGTGGGTGGCCAATGTCGGGGAGCACCTCCCAGCCTGGCCCGGTGGAGACCCCAGCGCCCTGATACCACACCCCGTGTATTCACCCCGGAGCTGTGCCCCTGCCCCGCTGCGCGTACCTGGTGGCCGGCGCTGTCCCGAGGGCTGAGCCTGGCCAGGGGCGACTGGGCGGGGGCTGGGGCCAGCGCGACCAGTCCTGAAAGAGAAAGCGAGTGGGGTTGCGGGGGGGGGGGGGTCAGGTGGGATGGCTGCCCATGTCCGCGGCTGTCTTTCCGGGAGGTGGGTCACAGGTGGGTGTCTGGGGCTCCCACCCGCACACAGCTCCACACCAGGTCCCGGAGGCAGTGCTGGAAGAGCCCTGCAGCGCATGGGAAGGCAGCCCTGCTGCCACCTGGCTTCCACCGAAGGGATACTGAGGCCAGAGGGGGTGACGTGGGTCCCGCATCAGGGGTCTCGCATCAGGATCCCCGCCAGCTGAGCCCACGTTCCCAGCTGCAGCGGCTGTCTGGCTGCTGACCTCTGCTGGCCGTGACCAGAAAATGACCCCATGCTTCAAAAAGTTACTTCGCCAACAGTCAGGGGACTGGATTGTGGGCTTTTCATCCCATCTGAAACAACTGAACAAAATTGCATATGTGGGCTCGTGTATGTGCACGCGCGTGTGTATCCAGACTCATCGGGAAGCACAGTTGCCAGTGGACATCGAACACCAGTGACCTTGATGGCTGCTGGAAAACAAGGGAGGTGAGACCCACGATGTGAACATTTTACGGCTTGAGAGTTTCCAGGCCAAGTGCAGGGAGGGAAACTGAGGTAAAGAGACAGAGCTGAGTCTGGGGTGCCCAGCAGCTGTGGAGTTGGCAAGAGAGTCTGCCTGGGGTACTGAGTGGAGAACCCACCTATTAGCCCAGGACAGGAGGCAACTGGAGGCTGGGAAAGACATGTCCGGGGGCTGGAAAGACAGAATTAAGCCTGTCTCCACCAGCCGGCCTGGACAGCGCTGTGGTTCGCCACTGGCAGGGTACACAGAACATCCTGCCCTGGTGCGGGGAGTCCGAGACCCTGTCTGGGTACTGACCTGGCTTCACCTAGACAGTGAAAATCAGATCACCTCCAAATAACTGCTGTCCCGAGTGGAGTTAAAGACGTGTAGAAATGCAGAGACACCCAGACCCCACGTGGTGAATTCCACCAGGCCCAGTAGGCAGGCAGGGATGCAAAAAGCATTGTCCACAAAGGCAGGGAGCGTCGCTGAAAACTGACCCAGGCCACACAGTGTGAGAGTTTGTAGGGCTCATAAAAGCTTTTATAGCTTTTCTCCATGTGCTTAAAAAGTTAAGTGAAGTCGAGGCAGAGGTCTGCAAAGTCAAGCCCAGGCCATGTAATTTAGTGACTTTGGGACCCTAAGAGATGTCATAATTTTTAAAAAAGGACTGACTGTGCAGCTCAGTGGGAAGACTTCAATCCCTAGTACTGAAAAAAAAAAAGAAAGAAATTAAATGAATCATGGAAGACGTAAAAGATCGAAATGGAGCTCTTAGAAATGAAAATGTACAAGCGCAAGGACCTGAGGAAAAATGCTGGATGGGGTTAACAGCAGATGACACATGGCAGAAGAGAAGAGCTCACAGCTTCCCGTGTCCTACTGCGTGGGTATCCGAGTTCTCACAGGACAGAAAAAGCATTGGAAGAAATAGGAGGGGGGAGTTTTCCAAATTCGAAGAAAACAGTAAAACCTCAGGCCCAAGAGTCTCAACAAACCCCAGCACAGGGCACACGGAGAAGTACACGAAAGTGCATTCTTATCAAAGTGCTCAACCAGGGACAATGAGACAGAAGTAGCCTAAGAGTACAGACACCGCTCTGTACAGGGAGCAAAGTGACAAGTAAAGAGGAAGCCCCAAGTTTCTCTGCAGCAGTCAAGAAGACAAGGGAATGGAGACGCCCCTGTCCTGTGCACCAGGGCTGGGGACCAGATCCAGGGCCCCCCACGTGCTGGGCAAGTGCTCTACCCTGAGCTCCATCCCTGCCCTGGGTGATGGTTTTAAAGTGCCAGAATAAAGTGTCCACCCAGATCCCCGGTTCTGCAGTGTTCGAGCAAAATTGGCCACAGGGAGATGGCCTTAGAGGAACAGTTCACACAGTCGTCAGCAGCAGACACACACTGGTCACAGTGAGGGGCGTCTTTCAGGTGGAGGACAGGGGTGCCAGCTGTGTACTGGGGACAGTGACATGGCAACTTCAGGGTGTGAGTGACCAGAAGTGGTGACCTGGTGACTCTGGGGGAGGGTGCAGGGCCCCACGTGTAATTTAAAATGGGTAACAACATACTTGACTCTTAACAAAACAATAGCAATGTATCGTGGAGCTTGCAGCACATTTAAAATAAAATGGATGATGATATTATCATAAAGTACTATGAGACCCTCATCCTGTGGGTGGTGTGGTAGAATATCACCTATCACCCAAAGGGAGACTGCATGTAATATTATTAATCCTAAAGCAATTGCTACAATAACAAGGAGTTATGGCTCACAAGCCAGTGATGGACACAGGATGGAATCGGTAAAAAAAACTTTAATCCAAAAGGAGGCAGAAAAAGTAGGATAATGGGAACCAAAGAAAACAAGTGGCAGGATGTAAACTTCAACCCTAAATCACATGGGTAATCTCATTTCACGTGCATAGAGGAAGCACCTCAGTTAGAAGGCAGAGATTGGGTTTAAAAAAAAAAAGCAAAATCCAACAGTATGGTGCTCACAAGAAACACGTTTGAAAAGCCAAGGCACAAATAGGTTGAAAGTGGGCGGGGGATTTAGCTCAGTGGTGCCACCGCCTGCCTCACAAGCACAAGGTCCCAAGTTCGATCCCCAGTACCAAAAGAAAAAAAAAAACCAAAGAGGTTGAAAGTGAGAGGGTGAGGAAGGAGATGCCCTGTAAACCCAGTTAAAAGAAGGCTGAGTTGTGAGGGACTTCTCCATTGATTGTGCCCAAAGCAGGCTGTAGAGTGAACCCCACAATTGGCTTGTTTTGAGAAGTGAAACGGGCAGAAGCCTACCGGCCGAGGTCAGAGTGACTCTTAGCCAAATTCCAGTCCCAGTGTTAAAACTTTCTTTACAGGCTGGGATTTAGCTCAGTGGCACTGTGCCTGCCCAGCAACCGGAAGGTCCTGAGTTCGATCCCCGGTACAAAAAAAAGAAAACTTTCTTTACCAAAAAGATAAGGTTAATTGTTAACCACAACCTATATTTTGTCTGTTCTGTTTCTAATTCAAGAATGCTTCATCTTTTCCTTTACAAGCCTTGCCTGCGTCAGTAACGTGTCCATAGCAACTATGGGTCCTCTCACGTGGCCCCTTTACCTCAATCTAACTATGATGTCGCCAATAAATATTGGCAGCTCTGGGACTTCAAGGCCTTTGCTCATTCAGCCTTGCTTGCACAAGCACTGGTCATCCTGGCTCCCAGTATCTCTGTCTCTTTAACTCCGTCTTTGAGTTTTCTTTTACCCTTGTGTCTCGAAGCACTGAGCAGGAGATCGGAACCCACCAAGGGTGTCTCTGATACCGACTGGTCTGTGGATACTAAAGTAGGCTTTGGGGCAGAGCACCTTGCAAGGATGACCAGGGTTCTGCCATAGAACGGGGGGGGGGGGGTGATCCATGAAGGGCCTGCAATTAACCAATGCAACTGCAAGGGAAACTAGACATCTCACAGCCACAGTTGGCTGCTCAGCACCCTCTCAATCCCTGGGTGGAATGGGGCAGAAAACCCACAAAGATCCAGGCAATTTGAGCAACACCTTAACCATGGGAGTCTACCTGACCTCAGGAGCTCCCACCCAGCCATGTGAACACACATTCTCTTCAAGAGCACGGAAGGGCACCAAGACTGGCAGCCCTCCAGGCTGAGCCCCTCGCTCAGGGGACTCGGAATCCCACTTGTGCTTTGTGGACAGAGTGACAGGAGAGTCGGCAGCGAGTGTGCTCACATCGTGGGCCAGCACTGGGCCCGACAGCTCCTCCCTTACCTACCAGCACAGGTGACAAGTGACACTCACCTGCAGAAGCCGACTTGCCCTCCACGCTGGCTTGCCCCTCCTCAGGGACCCGGGAGGACCCGGTGACCTCTCTCCCCAGGGCTGGGGGTGACCTGTCAGGGGGAAGCGCACCAGAGATGGGGCCATCGGGGCCACACCTGACACCTGCCCCAAGGCACAGCCTGCCCGTCCTCCTCATGCCAGGAGGATGGCGGCCTCGGGCTCTGCCTCACCTGCTCCTGGCCAGCATGGGTCTCTGGGCCAGTGCTGTGGGCTCTGGGCCCACATGGATCTGTGGCTGCTCCGGCTTGGAAACCATTCCTGGCCTGGTTTGGGCCCCGTGCTTCTCCGTCAGCCTCTGTGGGGATAGGGAGGTGGTGCTGCCGGCAGTGCTGTGGGGTGCAGGGGGCAGGGGGCAGCTCACTGCTCCAGCAGCAACATCAGGGGTCTCAGAGGGCTGGCCACAAGGACAGCAGAGGGACCCGTGTCCAGCAGGCACAGAGCCGGTGGGGGGCAGGGGGTGATGGGAGCCCCAGATGGGGAAGCAGCAGCTCGAAGGACCAGGGAAAAAGCCAGCCGGGCATCCGTGTGGCTGAGCCCCTGTGGCTATGATGCTGGACTCCAGAGGAGGAGCAGAGCACGTGGTGGGGGAAGGAAGGGAGGGAGAGAGGGGCCAGACAGGCATCTCTGCACTCTGGGTCTGAGGGGTCCTGTGTGCCCACACACATGTGCACATGTGTGCACATGCAAGCAAGGCTCCCCGGCTCTGCTGGCATCCTGGGAATGCCTGTCCCAGTGTGCTGCAAGTGTGTGTCCTGCCAGCAGCCCCTGGACGATGGACAGTGAAGACAGAGCCATCCCCTCACGGCTTTGTCCCACCAGCCGGGTCGCAGCTGCCAGCTGGTCAATGCCCCCAGCCCAGAGTCACCGCCTCTGAGCAGGCACCTTCTTCCCCTTCGGGGCCAGGCATTGGGCTTCCCATCTGATGGGGTTCAGGGATGCTGGCAAACAATGGAGTCTGACCCTCCAGCTCCGGGGCCCAACAGTCTGAGTCAAGGACAGTGGAAGGCCAAGGCACATCTGTGACCAGGTCTCATCCTGGCCTTTGGCGCCCTGGGGCCCGAGTGGCCCAGCGTCTGGCCCTGCTCTGAGGCTTTGCTGCAGGGTGGGTCACCCGTGAGCCCACATGCAGCCCACGCACGAGCTGTGCCCTGCTGCCACGGGTTTGGGCCAGAGGTGACAGGGGCCGTGGGGAGGGACATGCATTGGGGAAGGGCTGACCTGCAGCTGGTGTTTGAAGAGCAGCCCCTCCAGGGCCATCTGTGTCTCCCAGACCTCCTGCTCCGCTCGCTGCCGCAGGAGAGCCAGAGCCTGCTCCTGCTTCCGCTGGTCCAGCTGCAGCAAGATCTCACGTCCTGGGTCCTGCTGAGGACAGGACCCTGCCCCGGGCTGCCCTGTCCTCTGGAGAACCCACCTGCTGTCTCCCTGGGCCTCCCCATCTGTCCTGGCCCCGCCTCCTCCCATCTCTGTGTCCTGATTGCAGAGTGGGGAACAAGCGGGCTGCTCCTAAGTCCTACAGCTCTGTGCTTTGGATCCTTGCATTCAGCCTCAGGGCCAAAGGCTGCTCCCAGCTCTCCCTAAACAGAAGCAGCCTAGGGGGACACAGCTGTCCTTGGCCCATTGTCACAGGCTGGGACCCACCTTCAGTGACTGGAGGAAGCTCAAGGACTTCAGCTGGAAGTTAGCAGGGTGCCCACCTCGGCCTCTGGGGTGCGGCCCTCTGGGCTCCTGGGGACCTGTGGGCCACAGAGTGGGCAGTGAGTGACAGGGAGGCCCTGGGCCTCTCTCCACCTTGCAGCCCTGGCACTTGCTCCACAGCAGGGCACAACCTCTCCGACCTGCAAGGAAACTGAGGCACAGACAGGAGGAGGACCAACACCCAACCTCTGGAGCAGGCTGGCATCGGCCCGTCAGGAAGACCCCTGACCACACACTGTGCCCACCCCAAGGGGCTCCCTGCCTGACCCCAGCCCCAGTTCCTCCCCAGGTTCGCAGGACAGGAGCCACCAGGAAAGCTTGGGTCCTAGGCTTGGCTCCAGCGTGCACTTGGAGCCCTGTGGGACACAGCAGTCTACTTCCCTGGAGGGCAGGGTCCTCCTGGGGACTTTGGATTGCTCCTGGGCTGCGCGCCACTACAGAGTTCACCCGTGTTCCTGTACCCCGGCACAGCAGAGGGGGCTCCTCCTTCTTTATGGCAGCCCAGGCACCCAGCTCTGACTGTGCTTTGTGGAGGCTGCTGCCGGCGGACAGGGCTCTTGGGCAGCAGGGTATGGGCAGCGGCTCTCGCATGGTCTCTGCCTGGGTCCTGGTGACAGCTGGCAGGGATGCAGAAGATCAGCTCAGGCCCGGCTCAGGCCCTCTGCTCTGGGTCATCACTGACTGGGGCAGTTACCAGCGCCCATGCCCAGTGCCCAGAATGCACCACCCTCCTGGGCCTAGCGCTCCTTCCTGGACAGAGCTCAGCTTCCAAGCAGCTAAAGACCTGTGAGCAATGGCCATGCCAGAGCCAGGCCCACAGAGAGAGGTCGGGCAGGACACGGGGGCTCCCCAGGGGCCCCCATCTAACCGACTGCCGAGGGAAGTGAAAACATTTGCAAACTCTGGTTTGGGGTTTTGTGTTGTTCTTCTATTTGTTGTTTTTTGCAGTGCCTTTGCACCGAGCTGCATCCAGCCTGTTTCTTGGTTTGTATTTAGAGACAGGATCTCACCAAGTCAATGGGTTGCCCTGGCAGGGCTTGCTAACCTCCTGCCTCAGCTGAGATTGCAGGCTGCCCTGCCCGGCGTGCTCTGGGCTTGTGTGTGTGTCCTGAGCTACCATTCCTGTGCAGAGGAAGAAAATCCTCCAGGAATTCTCTTCTGTGGCCCTTGGGAGAGGCTGAAGGAGGAGGGTGCCCACCTCTCCCTCCTGCACTGGGAGCTTCACAGGGCTGAGGCCCCAAAGGCCTCCCAGCCATGCAGCCCGAGGAGGGGCAGCTTTGGTCATCTCTGGCCATGTCAGCACCCTGACAGGTCACCAGGAGCATGTGGACATGTGGCCCTGAGCTCTGAGCCATGGGGCAGGAGCAGCAGCTGGCCCTGAGCTGGCCAAGCAGCCCGGGAGAGGCCAGGGTCATCCCAGGTACAGAGGTTGACCCCAACTCACTCCTGACTCTGCTCGGTAGACAAGAGCCCCAAGAATTTGCCCTCTGCCCGAAGCAGGTGGTGGCTGAGGACCCAGCTGGTTTGTTTCCTGGTGGCTCTGCACCGGGCCTGCCGTTGTTGCTCCTAGGAACCACGGCCTCCCCAAGACAGGGTTGCAGGACCCCCACCCTTGGGGGGCTGACTGCAGAGCAGCCAGCGCCACACCTGCCACTTGGGTTAAACTTGAACAGAACGTAAACTTCCACCCTCAGCCGCACTGGCTGTGCTTCAGCAGCTGGACGGTTGCGTGTGCCCGGTGGCTGCCATCTTCGCCCCATCTGGCTGCAGGAAGTTCTGTTGAGCAGTGTGCTGGGGTCAAGCACAGTTCCCTGGGATGGTGCAGCCTCAGTGCTAGCAGCTGTAACAGTGGGGTCAGAGGGGCACTGGGCCCTCCCTGGCTGTGGATCTCAGGGCTTGTGCACTCTGCCCCCACCCCGCTCAGAGCCGCCTCCTGGCACAGAATGCTGAGCACTGTGCTCTCTGCCCATCTTCCTGCTGTGCCTACCACACAACACCATGACAGGGCTTGGGTGCCACGAAGTGCCGATGGCAGGGTGCTCGCCAAGCTCGTGCCGTCCCTGGTAAGCAGTGGGCTGAGAGACCCTCTGCACCCTGGGGCCTAGGAGAGCCCCTTCCCCGGGAGGGAGCTTCCAGGAGCCAGAGGCACGGAGCCCCCACTGCATGCCCCAGAGGTGCACCTGCCTGCTCAGGAATGAGGGGCATCTTGCCTCACATGCACACACGGCCCCCTCTGCCCCCCACAGAAGAGCTGGCCCGAAGTTGCCGGGTGTACCCTCTGGGCCCAGGGAGGATGCTGCGAAGGGAGGAACCCCTCCAGAAAGCCACCCAGCTCTGGGCTGGGACTGAAATCCTCTGTCCCAGTCAGCTGTTGGGTGGAAAGCCTAGGGCTGTGCTGCCTCCCAGCCCCTCTCCAGCTGCTGGAGCCCACTCGCCTCGCTGCCTGGCAGGGAGAGGCCCTGGAGCGGCACTGGGTCACAGCCGGCCCCTCCGTGCACCACTCCTGTGCGCAGAGCCTGTTCTTTACACAAACCCAATGGCGGCCCACAGCCCTCGCTGCCAGGAGGCCTCCCACCCGCAGCCCGCAGGCTCTGCCAGGACGAGCCCCAAGCGTGGGCCACCTGCCTCCCCAGGGCCTTGAGGCTTCTGGGACAGCAGACCGGGCACCTGCAGATCCCCTGCCAAGCGCCAAGACCTCAGCCCCAAGTGTTTCTTCACTGTAACCCAGAAACAAAACACGTCCAAGTAGCTACAGGACAGGCCGAGCCCTGAGCCGGTGGCCATGGGCAAGTGTTGTCCACGGGAGCCATGCCCTGCAGTGTCAGGAGCCTGGCTGTGCACAGGACAAGTGTCAACCCCACCCAGCCACATGCCCCGTGTGAACAGGAGCATGGAGCCGACAGCGAGGCCCAAAGCCCGGGAAACACTTTAATACGGGGATGCGGACGCTGAGTGCGGGGGAAAGGCTCCCTACCCGTGTGGCCACACTCGCTCTAGGCAGTGGCGGGGGTCCCTGGCAGACGCCCCCGGCCACCGGGCCAGCCAGCCCAGGGCCTCTCTGCAGCCTCACCCTTACAGCAGCTCCGGGGGGTCCAGGGGGTCAGCAGGTCCTCCAGCCTCAGGGAGCCACAGGTGGGGCACGGGGCAGCGGGTGCCCCAAGCGTGCTGGAGACACAAAGCACAGGTGGGCACGAGGTCAGGCTGGGAGGAGGGGGCCAGGGACTGTACCCCACTTGCGGGACTCCCACAGCTGCAGGAGGGTCAGACCCACAAACAGCGAGGCCAGGGGAGGACCCGACCCAAAGCCCAGGCAAAGGCCAGGCCTGTGACCTGCAGGGCAGCTGCAAGAGATGCCAAGTAGTGAGCACAGCCGCACCTACACCCTGATGGGGTGCTAAGCCCGGGACAGCCCAGGTAAGGGGCCCAGCACTGGGCTGCAGGGACAGCTTTGGGGTGTGGAGGGGGGCTCAGGAGGGGCTGCTTGTGGAGTTAGGGTGTCCTCAGAGCAGTGTCAGTCCAGGAACAGAGCTTCAGGGACTCCATGGGGTCACAGGGCTCCCCTCAAGAGCAGGAAGAAGCTGAGCAAGATGGGGGTCACAGGGCAGGAGCCCAGGGCCCACAGAAGGGACCTCAGATGTGCCTGCGTGACCTGGGCCCCAAGAAGGCCGGCTCAGACCTCAGTGAAGCAGATGAAGGAGCCGTGATGGGGACTCAGACATGGAACTGGGGTCTGCAGAGGCAGGTGACAGGGGGCCAACAGCGGTGCAGGGATCGTGGTGTCTCCCACGGGCTCAGGCCCAGCACAAAGGGCTGTTTGTGGGGGACCCGGTCCTGGGGCACCGCACTGCCCAGTGGACTCAGCCACAGAGCTGTCCCAGAGCTGCTGTGTGTCATGGGGCATCCCTGCCCTGGCCAGTGTCAGAGTGGGCTTGCCTGGTCCAGATCTTGGGCTTGGGATCCACTGACCCAGCCTGGGCAGGACTCACCTCCCCGTGCCGACACCAGGGGCCTGGACGGGAGCCGAGTCTCGCTGCAGCCTTTGCCCCAGCTGCCAGTGTCCCTCCTGCATGGCACCTTTGGAAGGGGACAGATGTCGTGAGGCATCCGCAGGGTGAGGGGCTGCCAGGTCGGGGCCCCGAGTCATTGGGCAGGAGTCCTGGGTGTGCCCTGCATGGGCCCAGTGGAGCCCCCCAGGCCTGTCCTCTGCCATGGGACGCGTCAGGCATAGGACGCCAGGTGTGGCATGGGAACTGTGCTGTGCAGGAGGGCCAGCTACTGTCATCTTGCGCCCTTTCCAGAGAAGAAACTGAGGGGCTGAGGGAGCCGGGGACCCCCCGCCACCCAGGGCCACGGTGCCCAGGCCACAGCCCCACCTTGGTGCTGGCTCTCGGGGCTGCTCTCCAGGTTCCACGGCAGCACCTCCACGTCCAGGAAGTCGTCGTGAGGTGACCCTCTGTCCCCTCTGGGCACCAAGGGCCCTGGGCAGGCCGGGGCGGTGGGCACATTGCTGGGGGCCCCATTTCCACACAGCTTGGCAGTCAGGATGTCGACACGCTGCTGCAGGACGTCGGCCATGGTCTCCAGAGCCTGCAGCCGGGCCTGCTTGTGCCGTGGCTGCAGGGGGCCCGACAGCCCCAGCCGCTCAGCTGCCTGAGGGTCCAGGCAGACATGCAGCCCCCGGGCCTGGTCCTGGAGCCACAGGGAGCCCGGCAAGGAGGTGGCAGACACGGGCAGGGGCGTTTCCGGGTGGTTCCAGGTTCTATTCAGACACAGACAGAAACTGCAGGATGGAAGACAAGAGTGGACGCTGGGCCCAGCCCGGGCACCCTGGGAGACAGGCAGAGACCGTCTATGTGTCCATGGGCAGCTGGCAGACAGACAGGCACCTCGGAGCCCCAAAGTCTGCACCTGCCACCAGGTGGGTGGCCTGTGAGGAAACGAGTCACCCCCCAAAGGGCAAGCCCCACTCATAAAGGGTCCCGGAGTCCTCAAATCCAGGGACAGCAGGAGAATGGAGTGTCAGGGGCCGGGAGGAGGTGTCAGCGTGAGAAGATGAGAGTTCTTGGGTGGCTGGTGCCTGGCGGGGTGGCACACACCTGTGATCCCAGCACTCAGGAGGCTGAGGCGGGAGGACGGCTTCGAGTTTGAGGCTACACAGTGGGCTATACAGTGAGTTCAGGTCCAGTCTGAACTACGCAGTGACACATTGTCTCAATAAAAATTAAAAACTGAAAAAAAGCAGCGGAGGGTGATGGACAGGTCCTAATTCCCGGGTAGGACTAGCAGCTCTGGGGGTCACTGGAGGTGACTTTCAGTGGGGGGCTGCAGGTTACAGCACAGCGCTGTACATCTCACAAAGCCAGAAGAAACGCTTTGAAAGGCTCCACTGAAAAAAATGATAAAGTTTGAGGCAGCAGTTACACTTAATTGAGTGAAACATTGTGCAATGTATACACATGTTGGCGCATCACATGGTGGCCCACTCATATGCACAATTCTTACGTTTTTATGTTTCAGCTAAAAAGAAATTTAAAATAAAAGCAAACCCAGATGGATCAGGGATCCAATTCTACGGTATACATATTTTAGCACTTTTTTTTAAAGGTTTTTTGAGATAAGGCCTTCAGATCACTATGTAATCCAGGCTAGCCTTGAACTCACAAGGTAGCCCAGGCTGGCTTTGAATTTGTGATCCTCCTGCCTCAGCCTCCAGAGTCCTGGGAAGAATACCTCAATTATTTTTGTCCAGAGTTATATTTTTGGAATTTAAATATTAGGATTTCAGATTTTAGGGAGTTTTGCTCTTTTGAAATTTCAGTATTTGGGCCGGGGATTTAGCTCAGTGGTTCCACCGACTGCCTCGAAAGCACAAGGACCTGAGTTCGAGCCCCGGTACCAAAAAAAAAAAAAAAGGAATTTCAGTATTGGGCATTGTGGCATTCAAGAGTGTACTGTTCAGGCCAGGTGTGGTGGTGCACGCCCATAATCCCAGCACTCAGCAGGCTGAGGCAGGAGGATTGCCCTGAGTTCAAGGGCAGCCTGGGCTACATAGTGAGTTCAAGGCCAGCCTGGATCACAAAGTAAGATCCTGTCTCAAAAAAAAGACTGTTGGATAGTAATGTCTCCGGAAAATGTACATGATGGTGTGACTTATCAGTAACAACACTTTTGAAAGAAGTGTTATAATCTGCGGAGTTATCTTGGGGAGAATGGTTGCTATTGAATTTAATGAGGCAACTGGATTTATTCTATTCCCTGCTGCTGTGGTGCCATTCTCTGGTAATCATTATTGTTTTTACCTAATAAGCTGAACTAATGGCATGAAGGAAAACCTAACTCATGAAAGGTATCATTCTGTTTATTAAAAACTGAAATTTACTATTTAAAAAAAAAAACAAAACTGTTGGGCTGGGGATTTAGCTCAGTGGTTCCGCCATCTGCCTCGCAAGCACAAGGTCCCGAGTTCAATCCCCGGTACCAAAAAGAACAAAATAAAAACACTGTACTGTTCAGGATGATGGCTCAAACCCCCAGGTATGCACCCAAGAGAAATAAAAGTAGGTATTCCAAAGAGTGCATGCCTGGTGTGTTCATAGCGGTAAGAGCCAAAGTGGCCAACAGTGGGAACAACCAGTGTCCAACAAGGAATTCTGGGTAAACAGGGTACGTGTATGAAGGAAGTCCTCAGCCATAGCAGGAATGAGGTCCTGGGTCACAGGACAGCATGGAAGACCATGATGTGGGCAGACAGGACTCTGGATTTTTTTTTTTTTTTTGGTAGTGCCAGGGTCTACCACTGAGCTGCATCCCAGCCCTATTTGTTTATTTACCTACGAGACAGGGTCTACCCAAGGCACACCCAGGCTGGACTCGAGCTTGGATCCTCCTGGCTCAGCCTCCCTAAGTGCTGAGATCACAGGTGTCTCCACCACACCACCTTTAGGGTACCACTTGAAGGAACTACAAGGGTGAGGAGGAACAAGCTGAAAGCTGTTCCCCTGGGGCAGGAGGGAAGGGAAGGGTGGGAGCTTTGAGTGTGGGGTCCTCTCCAGGGGACAGAGCGCCCAGAACCAGGCAGGGTGGCATCCACACCCCACTGTGACACCCAGCTGTGCACCTGAGAGCTGGCGATTTAAGTTCCCCTCTGTGAAAATGGTGGCAAGGTTGCTCCCAGCATCCCTGGGGGGCCGTGCAGTGGCGGGAAGCTCCCCAGGGCCCCTCCCCATCGTGGGCAATGTCTTCCACCCAGCACCCACCTGCCCGGGACCTCCTGGTCCCCCAGCACCTTCCCCGAAGTCACCTTGCTCCACCCCAGCTCGGGGAGCTCCAGGCTCCCAGGGGCTTTCGGGACCTAATGCAGCGAAACCACAGTAAGAGCCCAGGAAGGAGGCCGCAGAGCCCCATCCTGCCCCTCAGAGCCTGCCGGCCTCCTCCTGCCGGTCTCAGGCAGGTTTTTCAAAGCTTTTTGGGCACCTGGGGACCCCCTTCAGGGGCTGCCTCAGCTGGAACCCCAATGGCCCCAGGGAAATACCTCCGGGTTCCCCGGCTGTACCCACACAGGGGACAGCAGTGACCCCAGGCACATACCCCTGACTGTGTGGAGCTGGGGACAAAGGTGACGATGCCAGGGCTGGTCTGGGAGACCACAGGGACCGCCTGGCCCTGCACAGCCTCCCTCTGCTTCCGGTAGACCTCCTGCAGCTGCTGGCTTCTCCGCTCCAGCGCATCCATGGCCGCAACTGCCTGCTGCAGGACCTGCTGCCGTCGCACCTGTGCCTTCTGGTGCATGAAGTCGCGCAGGGCCTTGGAGCTGTGGAGCCGGCCCAGGGGCCCCCGGGGCTGCAGGTGGGGTGGGCACGGCTGTGCCTCAAGGCCCTTCCCTGGCGAGCTCCCCGGCCAGGCCTGCTTGGCTTCTGAGGGAGGGGTGGTGGTGCCTTTGGCCTTGCAGGGGGGTCCGGCCCTATCCAGGAAGGACCCACTCCAGGGGCGCCGAGGCTCAGGGGGAGGTCTTTCCAGAGAGCGCCATGGTCTGGGGACAGGGACTTCCCAGTCTTCTCCATCCACCCAGGCCTGCTGAGGACAGCCCTGACGGGTCAGGGCACTCCAGGGCCGCTGAGAAGAGGGGCTCAGCTCCTCAGGGGGGCGCGGAGGTCTCCGGAAGCAGAGGTCCCATCCTCTGGCTGCGCAGGCCCTCTGAGGACAGGGCTGCCACTCCGCCGAGGTCCTCCCGGGCTGCTGGGGATGGGAGAGGCTGGGCCTGTCTGAGGTGGAGCGTGTCCCCTCCGTCATGATCCAAGAGCTCTTTCGGAAGCCGCCCTGCCTGTGCCGTGTGCTCCGGGGACCCTGCGGGCCCAGGTTCTTTGGCTTCAGCTTTGATGGCCTGTGCTTCCGCCCATCCCCGGGGCCCTGGGCCAGCTCCAGCCCAGCCTGCATTTGGCAGCCGAGGTCTCCTAGGGTGGCCATGGCGCTCTGGATGGATGCCCGCTGGCAGTGGGAAGCCAGGCTGGCTGTGTTCTCGGACACCTGCCGGTCACTGGTGGCCGAGGTGGGCCTGTGTGGCCAGGTGTGAGCCGAGGAGCCCTCGGCTGCTGCAGCCTTCTTGATGTCCCCTGCAGTGACAGGTATGTCGGGCCATTAGGTGGCCCTCTAGACCTCGGTCCTTATCACAGACACACAGAAGCCCTGGGAGGGCAGAGCCACGTCTGGCCACGCTGCCCTCGCTTGTCAGAGCACTGACAGGGACACACAGAGGCAGGGGACAAGGCCACCGGAGCAGCAGCTCCCGTCTGCACTGGTCCCATGGGGATAGCCCTGCCCTACAGTTTTAGTCTTTGCTCCCCAAGCCCCTGCTCAGGGTGGCTGGCAGGTCTAGGGGGAGGACCCAGCTGCCTCCCTCCCCATGGCAGGGACATGGGTGTCTCCTCTCTGTGCCCAGCCCCGGCACTGTGGCAGAGTGGGGCGGAGCCTCGCACAGGCCAGAGGTACCTAATCGCATGGCGGGGCCGAGGTCTCTCCGGGGGCCAGTGCTCCAGAGTGAGGGCCGGGCAGGAGGCGGCCCCAGCAGCAACCTGGCCAGCTGTTGTCCTCTCCTCCAGGCGCGGACACCAACAGACTCGAGATCTTGGACAGAGAGAACATGCACAGCCGGTCCCGTGGGCCTTAGCAAACCTGTGCCCACTCAGCCATCAAAAGACAGAGCTCCATCTCAGTGTGACCACCGGGAGCGGCGCCTTAGCGTCCCTGACCCGCGGTGTCCTCCTCGGTGCAGCAAGGGTGGTCAACCTGCCCCTGACAGCTGTTTGCAGGGCACCCGGCTGGGCACAGGCTTCAGGGAGAAACTTGAGTAGCAACAGCCAGGTGGCCACACCCGGCTGCCCTGCACCTGCTGCATCTGCAGATTCAGGGGGTGCTGGAGTAAGATCAAGGTGTCTCGGGCGTCACCGAGATTAAGCTGCTGTGAAGCTGGTCAGACTCAGAGGCCGCAGCAGGGGTCAGTGAGGCTACAGAGACAAACGACCCACCCATCCTGAGCAGAAAGGGCTCCCTAATAATGCCACATAATCTGCAAGGCTTTACATCATAATCCCAGGGTACTGCCACCAAATCCATCCCGGGCCTGGGGACCCATCCACAAGGACCTAGTAGGGTCTAGAAGCAGGCCCTGGGCTCACACTGGCTTACATACACGTGCTCAGGCCTACCCAGTCTGGCAGCTCTGAGGGCCCCCTGAGTGGTGCCTGGTCCCACTGCCCGCTGCTGGCATGGGGCGGGCCCTCACTGGGGCCTGGGTGCAGACCACATGGCCCCAGCCCAAGCCTGCACATGGACCATCCGGACCGGCTCTGGTGCAGGCCCCCTGACCAGGCTGCTGTCCTGCCTCCCACCATCCTCATCGGCCCCAGGCCTGAAGGTCATCTCCGGGGTCCCGGGCCACAGCCTCTCTGTGGACCAGGACACGAGCCCAGGGAGTTCAACGGTTGTTCTCAGAGGACCAGACCTGGGTTTCAGTCTAGCCCCACTGCTCACCAGCCTGGATCCTGGGCTTCCAAGCCCTAAATGCGGAATGTGCCCCGCAGCACCTCCCGGCGGGGCCACCGAGGGCAGAGGACGGTCACCAGCTTTGAACCCAGCCCTCTCTGCTTTTTAGCTTAGAGCTAGGTTCTCACTGAGTTGCTCAGGCTGGCCTCAAGCTTGCGGTCCTCCTGCCTCAGGCTCCCAAGTCGCTAGGCTCCCAGAAATGCCCCAAAACGCTGGGTGACAGTGCCACCTTCTGGCAGGTGGCCTGGAAGGAGGTCTGGATTCTGCCAGCTCAGCGTGGAGCCCGCGGAGGCTGGCACGGCCCAGCCAGCCACACGTGGGTCTGGCTGGGGGAGTGAGGACCGGATGGACCAGGCCTCTCTGCTGTACCCTGGAGCTGCTCGGCACACAAAACCGGCCACGCCGCCCTCACCCCAGGCCTCCACCACACAGCCAGCTCGCTGTCAGCCCAGCGGAGGGGTTCTGGTCAATAAATGGGTCCTAACGGGCACATTTTTTTTTCTTCTGCTGAGCAGTTTAATGGCAATTAATTTTTTTATGAGAGGATTTTTAATCTGTGGAAATGGATGAAGTCCCCAGGTGCCCTGTCACAGCTCCAGGCCAAACTAATCTATGATAAAAAATGCAAAGCGAGGTGGTGTAATCGGAAATTAAAGATCAGGCCTCATTTTCCCTTGGCCCGGATGGATGAATATTTTATAACTATTGTGATTTAATTTTTTGTTAACTACAGCAAATTTCCAATTCATCCAATTCCCAAGTCCGGTGGCTCTGACCCCTGAACCCGGACTCATCTCTCCTTAGCCCAGCCGTGACTGCGTCGCTGACAGAAACTAATGGTGACCACCGCTGGGCTGACGCGGGCTCACTGTGATGGATGTGGCCGTGGCACGCCCTCCCGACCCCGTGTCAGGCAGCAGGCAGGTCATTTTTCAAGAGAGCCGTTAACCCAAACAAACCAACAAGCTGGGGTGGGGTGATGATGCGGACAGGGGCGCATTCTGTGCATTTGGGGGCCTCCCGTGCCCCACACTCTTTCCAGAGGCTTCTTCTTGACCAGTGTCCCCTCTGCCCATCACCCAGCTTCCCCGCCTCCAGGGCCTGTCACCCAGCAGGGCCTGTACAGGCGCTTCCACCTGAAACCCGAGCTGTGCCCGGGGCAGAGGGCACTGAGCATGCTGGGCAGGAGCCCATGCTGGGGTGGTGTTGACAGGGAGACTGACACAGGCTCAGCAGGTGGCTCAGGAGCTATGCCTGGCCCTGGGGCCCCACGAAGCGTCCTACGAAGCCTCCTCAGCCCCGAGGGGCCTTGTCCTCCTGCCTGGGTCTCCTGCTGCTGCACAGGCATCGAACAGGCCCTGGCTCCGCCTGCCTGAATGGCCCTGGGCAGGCCCCAGAACCCTCCAACCTCAGTTTCCCCACCTGTAAGAGGCAGCACACCTGCTTCCAGGGACCTGCTAGGGGCTCACCCCTCAAGCTCTGAAAACCACACCTACGGCCCAGCACCAGGGTCTTTGCAGGGCCCAGGCCCAGGGAGGGAACCTCAAGTTAGAAATTCCTCTGCCCCCACCTCCCAAGGTCACAGAATAGCTTTCCGGGACCAGTCATGAAATTAAAGGCTTGCACCCATGTGCCCACAGGTGCAGGCCTACAGCAGTGACCCTAGGGACCAGAGGGCTTTTGCTTCATCACAAGGGACGCTGCCCTGCACAGTGCGAACTGGGGGTCCCCGATCCCCACCAAGTGCTGACACCCAGCCAGGCCCGTGGACCCTGGGGATCACATCCTGGGCAGCGGGGCCCCAAAGAGTGAAGCTCACCTTTGCCTTTGGCAGCTGTGCTGGGCGAGGGTGACCTGGGGGCCTTGGCCCTTCTGCAAGATTGGCTCCTGGTCCGCCTGGCTTTGTCCTGGGGAGCTTGAGCAGGAGGAGAGAGGGCTGGCCAGGTGGACTCCTGGTTCCACAGAGTGCAGAGGCAGAGCCCGGCAGGGAGCCAAGAGCCCGCACTGGCACGGACGGAGAGGACACTGGCCGAGCCTGCCCCAAGACCCCTGAGTCCCCCAAAAGACAGATGACCAGAAGGCTGCAGGCCAAGGTCCCCAACCCTGTGCTCGGCCTGGCCCCAAGGCCAGTGAAGCCACTTGTCTCCACGGAAGGAGCAGCACAGGCCCCAGTCCGGCCGTCCTCAGTGGCACACCCAGAACTGGCCGCACACCCCACATGTGCTGTGGCTGCTGCCCAGGGGGTCCCCGGCCACTGTCCTCCACAGCCCCACGGAAGACCCTCGCTGCAGATCCCGGGAGCCAAAGGCGTCAGGGCCACCTGAGCTCTGCTCCCAACCTCCTCCCGGTCCCCAGAGCCTCAGGGGGCCCCTCTCCAGCTTGGAACAGACTCCACCCGGGCTCCCTCAGGCAGAGCTGGCCCCACCCGGCTGGCAGCTGCTGGGGCACAGGACCCTCTGCAGGTTTGCTGAGCAGGAAGCCGAGGCCCCAGCACCCTGTGGAATCCAGGCCAGAGCAGAATGGCCGTGCCCTGGGTCCTGGCATCCCCTGGGGCCCGAACCTCTGAGCCCCCATCTGCCCTTCATCTCTGGGGCCAGGCGTCCATGATGACGGGGCAGTGCCCACCTCACAGATAGGCCAGCGAGCCCGGGAGGGGCAGGGCGTGGTGGACATGGGGACGACCCGGCCTCTTGGGGGATGCCCTCCTGGCTCTCTGCCCTGCCCGGCTGCCTGGAGTCCTTCCCCCCAGGGCAGAGGGGGTAGAGCCCAGCTCCAGAGAGGGGCAGCTGCCCCATAGCCACTGGGGCCTCCCCAGCCAGGGTCCCCTGGGCCTCTCCATCCTCTGAGTGGGGCCCAGCATGCAGTGCCCGCCCTGGAGCCACTCACCTGGAGCCTGGTGCTGGGTGGCCCAGGACAGCACCCGGCCCGCACCTGGGGATGCCTGGTCTTCCCCTTGGGTCTCAGGCACGCGGATGCCAACACCTGGAGCAGGGTGAGAGGTATGTGGAGAAGAGATTCTGGCCGGAATCCAGGACGAGGTCAGCCCGGGCACAGGAGCACAGCCTGCAGACCCACAGCACGTGCTGGGAAGTGAGGCTCGCGCCAGCTGGAGCCACACGTGCAGTACCTGGGTGCCCAGCAGAGGGCGCCCACTACAGCCTGGACCACTCACAGGCAGGGAGTCACAGCCCAGGCTTGGAATCCCCTTCACGCAGCCGGGCGTGGTGGTGCACACCTGTGACCCCAGCACTAGGGAGGCTGAGGCAGGAGGATCACAGAGAGCTTGAGGCCAGCCTGGGCTCCACAGTGAGTTCAAGGCCACCTGGACTGCATAGCAAGACCCCGCCTCAGCAAAAAACCCAAAACATCAAAAGAAAAATCCATTTGTGCATTTTTTTTCCAGCTCTGGGGTTGGAATCCAGGGCACACAATTGCCAGGTAAGTGCTCTACTACCGAGCTACGGCCTCAGGCCGCTCCTTTGTTCGTTTCTGTCTGAGGTAAAGCCTCAGTAAGCTGTCCGGGCCTCAGATTTGACACCCTTTTGCCCCAGCCTCCCTACTTGCCGGGATTATAGTTGTGTGTCACTGTGTCCAGCTGATAAATTTTATATGATAAATACTGGTATTATCTTTTTAAAAAGTGGTAACGTCTCCCATCTCCTTCGATGGAGCTAAGCACCTAACTGGGTCCCTACCCCTCACAAGGAGGCTGTTCAGAGAGCTTGACCACCTGACCCTGGCCTGGCCCTGCTAGGAGGGACGCAAATGACCCTCAGTCCTGTGCTGGCTTTTAGGGTGCCCCTGGCTGCCGCCGTCTGTTTAAACTCTGTCCATGCCCCTGGCAGCAGGGACAGAGACGAGACCCAGGCTCAGGACACCGGAGCCCTTCCGCCACCCCTCCCTGTCCCCGCCCCCCCATTAGGGTTCAGATCCCTCTTTGGTCTTGGAAGTTGATCAGACCACAGGGCCCACGGCTGACTTGCTCCTCATAGGAGGAGGCAGGGCCTGGGCGCGGCCTGGAAAAGTTCCTTTCCGGCCACCCTGGCTCAGAGCCGGCCCGCCCGGGCTGAAACCTCTGCCAGCTGAGCCAGAACAGACCTCTCCTCCTTTCGGTTTTGGGTGCCAGGTGCCGGGTCCAGCCAAGAGAGAGTGACGGCGATCCCCCAGTCTCCCTGCTCCAGGAAGCTCTCTGGGGCCTGGGGCTCAGCCTGCATCCCCACCGGCCCTGCCCCAGAGCTGCCACAGACCTGGGTGTGCAGAGGCTGGAAGGGCAGCTGTCACCCTGCGAATCCTCGGGGCCGCCAGTGTGGAGGTGGAACAGAGGTGCGAGGCGCTGGAGGAGGCTGAGGTGCTCAGGGAGGTGCAGCTGGCCGACCCCCGCGCCTGCTGGCGGATCCGGTCCCTCAGCCGCTCCAGCCGCGGGTCACTCTTTCTGGGCCACCACCGCTGTGGCCGTGGCACCCGGGGTGGCCTCTCCTTCCAGGGCCCATAGGGAGGAGCACAAGACACGTGGCCCCCCAAGGAGCCAGACAGGCAGCCGGAGGACACTGAGCTGGCCCCGTCCCTGGCCTCCTGCTCAGTGGACCAGAAGGCGTCGCCATCATCCGACCAGGCCAAGGGAGGTGTCCCGAGAGCACCTGGCTGCCGGGCCGGCCCAGGCCACTGCAGCAGGGCCACAGCACAGTCCTCGGCCACAGGCAGACGGAGCCCATCTTCCCTGGGAGAGAGGGACAGACATGGGCACCAGGCTGTGCTGAGCAGGGCATCTCGGCGGAGCCCGCCGTCCCTGGGACCCTGCTCCCTCCCATCCTGGAGGACAGGAGGGTCAGAGAGGGTCAGAGAGAGGTCGAGCTGTGACACCCACCCGCCCTGCTGCTCTCAGATCCTATCCACACCCCATGAGGACCAGCCCAGAGTCCAGGCGGGGACCCCAAGGCTGGAAGGGCCAGGCCTAGTCCCGTGCTGACCCCACACTGGCAACACGTGCCCCCGGTCCACACTGTCCCTACCTGCACTCTGTGCCAGTCTTTCCGGGGCCCCCTCTTCCCAGAGCCCTGGGACAGGACAGGCCCGGCTGTGGGGCTGCCCTGGAGCAGGGCAGCAGTGCACCCCCCAGGCAGTTGGGCAGCACGCCCAGGATCGGGGTGGCCATGAGGCCGAGTGTGGCGTGGTGCTGTCACAGGGTGACCCGAATGCCTACAGCTGGGCCTGCGTGGGACACCTGGCACTGGGAGCCCCGGATCCTGGCCTGGCCTGGTCCCCTGGCCTGAGTACAAGCCTTCGGGATGGTCACTGAGATGTGGGACAGTGGGTGCGGGCCGCTGGCAGCGGGTAGGGTCTTCCTAAGGAGCTGCCTCCCCAGGGCAGGAAGAATTCCAGGTGGCCCAGCGACACCATAATAACCCCGTGTCACTCATGACAGGGCCTGGGCTCCCACCTGTGCCCCAGATGCTGCCTGAACAGGAGCCCCAGCTCCCTCCCCAGCCCTACCGCTCCTTCAGACACCCTGGCTGGGCAGCATGGTGGGCAGAATCCAGGCTATGGGCTCCAGGCCAGGGGCTCAGCTCCAGCCGCAGCTGACCTTGGGCAGGGAAGCAAGGGGCCGGGCGACTGCCGAGTGCCCCTTCCTTCCCAAGTGTCCCCAGAGAAAGGTGGGGACACCTCGGTTCTAGGTGGCATGGAGAGCACTCGAGGATGTTTGTCTCATTCTGCAGCTCTGGGCGCCCCTGTGTGCCAGGCTGCACTCACCACTGAGCTGCACCTGGTCATCCCTGCTGCTCCTGAAGCCCCTGCACTCAAAGAGGAGGGGCAAATGCCAAGGAATGTGGGGTGCCACCGCCCTGTGCATCCCCTGCCACCTCCCCTCCCTCAGAGCTGGGACCCCCGTGTGCAGAGGACCATAATACTGGTCGTGCCCAAGGCAGGCTGTGAAGCGTTAGCCCCACAATCGGCTTGTTTATAGAAGTGAGTCCGGCTGAAGCCTACGTGCCGAGGTCAGAGTATCTCACACCCAAATTCCGTTCCCACAACTAAAACCTTCAGACTAGAAGGACAATGTTCCTTCTATTTTGTCTATTCTGTTCCTAATTTGAGAATGCTTTGTCTTGTCCTTTATGAGCCTTGTTTACATTAATTTCCATAGAAACTGCAGGTCACCTTTACCCCAATTGATTGCCAATAAAAGTCAGTGCCTGGGACTGGCCAGGGACTTTGTCAGTTGCACCAGCATTGATTGTCCTGGGCCCCGCTTCTCTCTCCTAGTTCTGTCTCTTAGTGTATTTATTTCTCAGGCCTGCATCACATACTGGGGACTGGAACCTGTCTGCAGGAGTCTCAGACACCCATGTGGCCAAGCAACACCAGTACCTCTGTGGCCAGGTACCCCTGGCAGCACTGTCCAACTCTGCCTTGTCCGCCCAGCCCGGTGTCCAGTGCTGGCCTGGCTGCTCGACTCCCTTGGGGACGTCACACCTCGAGGCTGAAATGGAGCAGATCCCTACATGTGTCCCTTGGTGACATCTGCAAGAGGTCAGCAGTCTCCAAGTGTGTGCCCTGGGGCTGTGGGCAGTGACCCGGGTAAGGCTGGATAGGGACTTCCGGGCACTGGCTACCGGGGCAGGCAGCATGGTCCTGTGGGAGGCAGACCCCAGGAAGCTTGAGGATAACAGGATGACCGAGTGGGAGCCTGGGAGCCTGGACAGCTGTGGGCAGTGCTTGAGGATGGCTCCACCTCAGCCTCCCTCCCACTCCTGGGGGGGTGTCCCCAGCACCTGACCACCCACCCACCTGCTCTCCTGCAGACGCTGTGTGCCTGGCTTGGCCCCGAAGCCCCGGCCCCTCTGGCCACCAGATCACGGCCCCTTTACTGAGGGTCCCCTACTGCTGCTGGGCCTTCAGGTCCCCAGAGCAGCTGAGGCCCTGGTTCCCAGCCCAGCTCCCATACAGGGGAGACCAGAGTCCTCAGGAGCAGGACAGGAGCCAGACTGGACATCCTCTCCTCACTGTGCACCGGGCCCTGCCCTCAGCAGGAAGAGGGCCCAGTGCCAGGCTGTCCCCTCCGGGCACTGGAGGCCCTGACGTCCCATCCTAACGCAACGGAGCAGTCGTGTTACCCACGAGTGCAGAATCCTGAAAACAGATGCCTTGTGCACAGAAAATAAAACCCAACGCCAGAGCTGAGTGGCTGCCCCTGTGCTGGGACACCACCCCCAGTTCCGTCCTCCTCCACACCAGGACACGAGCAGCTCCCAAAGCAAGGTGCCCTCTGCTGGTGGCCAGGCCCTGCACAGCTCACCTGCCCCAGGACAGCGCCTGCTGGGTCTGTCTCAAGGTAGAGGGGGCAGCAAGGCTCCCAGAAGAGCCTGGCAGGGCCAAAGGGCTTCCTGTGAACGAAGCCCTTTGGCAGCCCCACTTTGCTGGCTTGGGGGTCAGCCCATCACATGTCCTGGGGGGTCAGAGGCCAGGATCCCAGGACACCCCTACAGACTGCCACATCCCGGGACAGGAAAGAACAGCTGCTGCTGGGGGTCTCGGGGGTCCCTGGGCCACTTCCTGGAGCCGCAGGGGGACTTGAACCCTCCCTCCCCTCAGACAGTGGGCACAGAGGCCGCCACGCCAGGTGCCCACAGGGACCTCGGGAAAGGCGCCCCTGCCCCCTGCTGGGCCGCGTTTGCCTCTTAGGGAGGTGGAGGGACCTTGGCCCACGTGGTCAGGCTCCTGGGAGGTCAGAAGACCAGGAGCCCGAGGGACACCTTGGTTCTCATCCAGCCCAGACCACCCCCAACCCTACCACTGCCCCCAGGGCAGCTGTGACTTGCACGGGGCCTGGCCACTCCTGCTGCCCTCTGGCAGGGGCAGGCTGGCGGGGCTCCTTCTGGAGCTGGCAGCCACTCCCCACTCGTTAGTTAGCGACAGTGTTTACCCCTCTCCACCTCACCGAGGGGGGAAGGGCACCACGCCCACCACCCGGGGCCCCAAGGCCTGATGCCACCACCCTCCATGGCGACAGCACTGGGCCTGGGTGTTGGCATGGCACCCAGCCACTTCCGCGTGTGCCTGACGGGGCCTCTGGCTGCCACGGCCCGCCCTGAGGCCACCAGGAAAGGGGCAGGGCCTCGAGCACCCACAGGAGCACCGGCACAGCAGTGTCCAGGGGCTGTAGTGGGTCACACGGGGACGCCAAGTGCAAAGCACAGGCTCCCGCCATCCACAGCACAGCACACAGGACACCTGCAACACGCCACACACACACCAGCTACACACGCAACATGCACACCACCGGGCTCTGCAGAGCCTTCACCAGGGCAGAGCAGCCAAGCCTGCAGCCCGCTGTGCCCTGTGCCCACCGATGCCCCAGCCGGCTGGGTGCCCGGGGCGGGGCCCACACCACAGTGGCAGACACAAAGGCGGAGACAAGGTGACACCAGGGCAGACTGGAGAAGCCTGCTGCGGGGAGGGTGTGTCAGAGGTCAGATGGACGCGCTTCAGGGCCAGGAGAGGCAGATAAATCACGGGGGCAGGTGGCTCTGCCCCGCCTCCTCCCCACCCTCCTGTCCACCCTGGGGCTCAGCCTCCAAGTGGCCCGGCCCAGCCACCCCGGGAGGCCAGCAGCCCCAGGCCCCGGATGCTCCAGCAGGGAGCCTGGCCCTGCCACCTCGCTGCTACCCCTCTGTGCCACACGGGCCGGCCAGGCTGCTGCTCGCCGTGTCTGCTGGCAGAGGCCAGTGTCCCCTAGGCGTGTCCCCTAGGCATGTCCCCTGCGTGACCAGTGCAGTTCGTCGTGGAGACCCACCCTCAGGCCGACCCCCCAACCAGCAGCCTGGGGAGCAGCTGCCCACCCCCGGCCTGGCTGCCCCTGGCAAGAGAAAGTCACCTGGGAAAGGAGCCCTGGGCACAGACGCTGCCACCGGGGCTCAGAGGGGTCACCAGGCCATGGCCTTTGGGACATAGCTCTGGGCTCCCTGCCACAGCTGCCCCAGCCTCCACCTGGCAGACCTGGTGGAGACGCTCCCGGCAGGGCCCGCCCAACGAGCCTGTGCTAGAGGGTGTCCGTGCCCGGCTGGCCTTTCTAGCCCCAAGCCTCTCCCTCCCCTGCAGCAGCCTGCGGGGGCCACTGCAAACCGCTCGGAAGCCCACTGGGGCTGGCAGTGTTGGTTTGCTCCATGCTGGGCGGTCCCGGGGACTGAACCCAGGACCTTGCAGATGCTGGGCAAGCACTCACCCCTGAACTCCAACTCTTTCTTTTCTTTTCTAGTTTTTCTTTTGCGACGAGGCCTCTATAAGAGGCCCTGGCTGGCCTCAAACTTGCAGTCTTCCTGCCTCAGACTCCCAAATCTCTGAGATTACCACCAGGCTGCAGTCATTTGAGGATAAGCCAGTGTGTGTGCGGGCCCCATGGTGGGACCTGAGCCCTCCAGGTAGGGAGGGTGGACCTGGCCCGGCTGCCTCAGCTGGACAGGGGAGGAGACCCGTCTCTGTGAGCCTGAGTCCAGGGCAGAAGGAAAGCCTGCGACCTCCCCGCCCACCTCTGCCCTCCCGCCACCCTGCCACCCCAAGGTGCTGGGTAGACAGATGGGGCTCAGCAGCAGCCCTGGCACTTACCCTCTGGACGCCTCTGGGGCTCCCTGTCAGGGTGAGGGCGCTGGGCAGAGGCCATGGCCTGAGATCAGCAGCCCTGAGCCCAGGAGCCAGAGCCGCCAGGGCAGGTGCCCAGTGCTGGAGGCCGGGAGGAGCCGCCCCACCCAGATGTTGCCAGAGAAACCCCGAGACATGGGCAGACTCCTCCTCCCTCCCCTCAGCAACCTGGGAACACTATTCCCTTGCCAGGAGCCTCACCTGCGCGCAGGTGTGGGGCAGGGACGCACCTTCACACTGCAGCCCCCACAGAGAACCTCGCCACCCGCCCTGAGCCCTGCCCTGCTGGGGAGGGGTAGCACACACTTGGGACCCCACCCCAGACCTCTTGGCCACCAGGGCAGCACAGGGGGATCCAGAGCCCTGCCCCGGCTCTCCTCCTGGGCCCCCGAAGCTCACAGCCCCCAAAGTCCCCTCCCTGAGATCCTGGCAGAGCCTGGCCCCAGGCTCCAGCAGCCATGGTAGAGGGCACCAGCCTGGAGCGGAGAGGGCACAGGAGACAGCTGAGGCCTGGCAGGTGGTTAAACAGAGGCAGACACTGCCAGGTCCAGTGACTCCGAACTCAAAACCTGCAGAGCCACTCATGTGCTGGCGTGGGGCCATGGGTAAGCCAGGGCTAGCCAGAGGGGCTTCAGAGGCACCGGGCTGCGGCTCTGCCCTTGCTGGGGTGCTGGTCCCCGGACCAAGTGCTGAGAACTTTCCCGTGCGCCAAGAGATCTGAGGGCTTCAACTTGGGGTGCTAAGCAACATGCAGGGCAGGGTTGCTGCTCTCACCCCTGCCCCAGCCCAAATGCAGGCGCCTTGGGTCCAGGAGTCCCCTGGGGACAAGCAGCCTGGCTGTCAGGTCCCCAGCTGTGATTCATCATGTGGCCAGCAGGTGGCGCCCTCTCTGTCCTTGGAGGGGGATCTCTGCCACCCTTGCCCTCCCCAAGTGGGTCCCTCCCACCCCAAAAGCCCTCTTCTTTTGCCAGGAAACTCCTGTAGGTGTCAGGAGCTTGGGGCCTGGGGGAAGCCTGGGCTGTGGCCTGGTCTCTGGAATACTGGGGAAGGGGCCTGTACCCAGAGGCAGCATGGGCAGGGGCCCTAGGCCCCCAGGAAAACCCCTTGGACCAGAGCTGGGCCTCCATGCAAGGCCATACTGGGGCAGCTCCCGTCCTGGGCAGTGTCTGGGAGAAACAACCCTGCAGCCACGGGGGCCCAGCTGTCCTGGAGGCAGAGTGAGGCTCAGGCCCCAACGTCTGGCACCCGGAAGTTCATTCCTGCCCTTGGAGAGGCTCAGGTGTGTGCCAACCCCAGCTGAGTGGGACACAAGTTGACCCTGTCCTTCAATGTCAGGGAAACAGAGAAGCCCACCTACCCGAGGGTTGAGCATCGGATCTGGAACCCAGGAGGAGGAGCTGAAATTCCCCAGGACTTTAGGACCTTCTCCTACGTGGTCCCTGCACCCGGAGCCACACCCCACAGCCGGCAAAGTGAGACCCTGGGGTCGGTGGCAGCCTCTGTGGTTCAGATTGGGCCCTCCGTCCTCACCACCTGAGTTCCTGCCAGACCAGAGACCTGTCCGGCCCCCCCGTGTCCTCCCCCTGAAGCTGGGGAGCAATGCAGCTATAGTGGCTGAGATGGCAGTGTGACCGCCTAGGGGCCCGGGGCAGGTCTGGTGCTGCTGTCCACAGTCTAAAATCATAGGGCAGAGGCCAAGGCCACACTCCCTGAGCCCCAGGCTTCGGAGACCAGGAAACTCAGCCACTTGCTGGGGGGATGGCTCCTTCTCATGGCGACAAACATGCTTTCTGGACCTGGGCTGGCTGCCCTCAGGCCCTCAGCCAGGGCCGCCTCTTCTGCCCCCAGCATCCCACCGGCCTAGGGATCCACTTTCACCAGGGCAAGTGGGTGGGCCTGTGACCCAGGAGTCCTGAGCAGCTGCCCTCCCAGGGCCACGGGAGCAGTGGGGCTCCCAGGAAGCACGGAGACCCCTTGAGGGGGTCAGTGGAGGACACCCCAGCCTCCCGACCACGAGGGCCCCCTCCAACACCAAGAGCCACCTCACCCAGGGCCACGCACTCCCAGGGCAGCTGAGGCCAGGGTTGGGGTGGGGTGGGACAGAGACCTGCCCACCTCGGAGGCAAGGACTCTGGGATCAGCCCACAGCACGGAGCCTGGGTCAGCAGTGAGATGAGGCCTGTGAACAGCCAGTGCCCTCAGCGAGACCTGGGCTATTAAAGAAAGCAAGAAAATACCTGGGCATGGTGCACGTGTCTGCAATCCCAGGACACTGGGAGGCTCAGGCAGGAGGACGGCAAGTTTGAGCCCAGCCTGGGCAGCTCAGTTTCTTAGCCAGGTCCTGTCACAAAATAAAAAATTAAAAGGGCTAGGGATGTAGCTCAGTCAGTGCAGAGGCCCTGGGTTCAATGCCCCATGCTCCAGACCACCACACACAGCGGACTCCTTGCTGTCATGTCAGTGAGGCTTCCGAGAGGTCAGTCAATGCCTGTGGCCAGCCTGGCCCTCCTCAGAGTGGACGTGAAGCCCCAACTTGGACACCCCGGCCTGGATCCGTTCACCGGGGCTCCAGCCTCAAGCCCTCCAGGGCCCCAGGGCTGCTGCAGGTCAGTGGGGGCATTCTCACCTGGGATGGGGGACAGCAGGTCGTTTCCTGAGTAGTGGGTGGCTTCCGAGGGGGACCATGGGGTGCTGGCCCCGGGCCTGGAAAGAGGAGGGTCCTGGCTGGTGTTGATTTTCTCCTGGAGCAGACAGAGTGCAGGGCGGAACTGCTGGAGGTGGCACAGGGGGTGGTCCACAGCAACCAGCAGCTGGTCTGGGGGAACCCCTGGGTGGAGGGAGGAGATCCCTGGAGGCAGGGTGGGGGCGGATCTCCAGCTGAGAGGAGCTGCCTAGCAAGCCCCGCACCCCTGGGCATCCACAGTCAGCAGCCCATCTTGTCCCTGGCCCTCCCAGCAGCCTCTCAGCCCAGTCCAGAGCCCCCCGGCACCCCACAGCTCCAGCACTCAACTCTGTCCTTCCCTAACCCCCAACTTTGAGGCAAAGTGGCCCCTTGTCCCCAGCACCTGCCCCCTCCACTGCTGCGCCCCTCTGTGCCCCTGCCCAGGACTCAGTGCAGACACACGTCCCTCTGGCCCACCCGCTGGCTGCCCAGCATGAGGCTGGCATCAGTGTGAGGCCTGGGGCTGGGTGGATGGCATCGTAGGGCAGTCTGGCTTCCAGGAGAGGAGCCCGAAGGCCACACCGGGCTCCCACGGGTAGGTGGCACCACCGTGTTCTGTGAGCCCAGGGAATGGCAGGTGCCACACAGGGCTGCGTGCTATTCAGAGGCCTGGCCGGTACCCAGCGGGGAATCAGAGCAGGGCTGAGGATGAGCCAGAAGGTGGCGCTGGGAGGCCAGAGCCAGGGCCTCTTGTAACCCCACCACGGTCCCGGGTTCCTGGCCGGCTCCTGTCCCCAGCCTGGTGGCTCCGGAGGCACCTGGGCTCCCTCTGGCCTTGATGGCCACATACAAGGCCCTGCTTGGGGGATGCCTGGCTGCCTGTCCAGGGCTCAGGGCCAGAAAGGATGCGCAGCCCAGGGTGGCCAGAGCGACAGTGCAGATGAGGCTTCACAGAGGCCGCTGCCCCTGACCAAGCTCCCCACACCAAGGGCTCTGTGGAAGCACGGCCTCCACCAGGCTCCCGTCAGCAGAGATCAGGCAGGTCCAGGGACCCGCTGTGAGCAGCCGGGATGGGCTAGAGCGGCCCCTGGTGTCCCTGTCTCTGGTGGCCAAGCCAGGACCGCCTCACCGGGTTGGCCTAACCCTCCGCATCGCCCCTCCATGGCACCGTTGCTGAGCCAAGGAGTCTGGACTCACAGCCCAAGGTCCAGAGGGGAAGGGTCCTTCCACCTCCAGCCCTGCGCCCGCCTGGAGTGCACAGCTGGCCCCAGCAGGAGGACGAAGCACTCTCAGGGCCGGATGCCGCCTGCCAGGCCTGGTGGGAAGGTGGCCGTGCATCCACAGGATAGTGGAACCCAGAGCCAGCTGTGCTGGTGACAGCCAGCCCGTGAGGCATCTCTGGCCTCTGCAAAGCGCAAAAATGCATTCCTCAAATTCCAGAGGCCCTGAGTGCGAGTGCGCACAGCGTCTGGGGAGGAAGCACCCTGCTCCAGGCCCAGGAAAGGGTAAGCCCTGGAGCTGTCACAGGGAACTCATCCCACCAACCGGGGTGGGGCCTCCCTGACTCAGCCCCCAAGGCCGCCTCTCAGGACTGTTGCCCCGGGTCTTGGGTCCCCACACATTAGCCTTGGGGGAAGAGGGTCAGTCGGGCCACAGCGATAGGGTGTTGGGTGAAGAGGAAAGACTGCAAAACCAGGAGCCTGCTATGGCCCCGAAAAGCGGGTGCAGGGGTGAGTAGTGCCCCCAAATGTGCATCCGGCTGGAACAGAGCACACGGCCTGTTTGGAAGAAAGGGCTTTGTAGGTGTGACAGGAATCGTGAGATCGGCCTGGCATGGTGGCGCGTGCCTGTCATCCCAGTACGTGGGAGGCTGAGGCAGGAGGATCACAACAAATTGGAAGGTAGCCTGGGCTACATAGCAAGACCCTGTCTCAAAAAACCAAAAAAAGAAAGAAAGAAGTTGGAAAAAGAAGAATCGCGAGATCATCCTAGGTTAGAGTGGTCTTGGATGCCAAGATGCGTGTCCTTGTAAGAGACCGAAGGGGACACAGGGAGGAGAGGAAGCTGTGGGATACGACATTGGGCCTGTGAGGAGAGACACCCTGCTGGGACCCCCAGACCGTGGGCTTGCTCTCGAGGATGGCAAGGGCGCATGCCTGGCTCTGCACGTGTCACCACCCCAGCTCCTGGGCCTCCCAGCAGCCCTGGAGGGGATGGCAAGGGACAGGAACCAGGCAGTGCTGAGCCCAGAGTCTGTTCCCCCACATCGAAGACAGTGGGGCCCCATCGGAAAGAAGCCTCTGCATCCAGGCGGTGGGACGCAGGGTCAGCACAGCCAGAGGGAGGGGGACGGGAGCCTGACTTTCGGGGTAGCAGAGCCCCTGTGCCACCCACACCAAGGCTGGGCTGCTGGGCCCGCCCTCCTCGGGGGCC